ATGAATTCATGGGTACGTGACTTTCCAGGGTGCTACTCTGATTATGCTAATAATATTCCAGGCCATCCAAGTGTCAAGCACAGCAATTCTGCCGGAGCTATTGGCATTTTAGGTATCAAGAAAATGCGCACTGGCGTGTTGCTGTATTATGGACACAACACCGACTCATTCGTCATGGCTTCCATGTCCGCTTCGGATGAACACCCGGCCTGCTCAATGTCACGCAGCAACGGTAACGGCCAAGTTGCTCAGGGCGGCCGCATGATATCCATGAGGCGTAGCAAGAAGGCAAAATCTGCATCTCGTCGACAAGTGTAGTAGCTTTGTGAGAGAGCCTGGAACCTATCCCATCTTTCTGCTACTTTGTCTCCTCTTTCCCAAACCCTATAGCCGATCCTACCGATAGAATGTCATTCTTCTGTACGAATATGAAAGGTTGAGATATTCTATGTTGGTTTAGAAACGCATGCATGGGAACAGTCTTCCTTTTGCTGTTTTTCTCCAGAAGACGAAGACGACCAAAATGTACATTAGATCCATGGTATTCAGCGGTCCTGTTGAAATCTCCTCAACTCTTCAAAAAGATGCACATAATCGAAATACCATTACAGCCAAAGCTCATCCTTACCTCCCATCATACCCCTTAACCTTTCCATCCCCCCCACTCCCCTCGACCTCCCCCCTCGCCACCCCAAGACTCCTCTGAAAAGTCCCCGTAATCCCAATCTGATCCGTCAAAACACTCATCATATCGAACCCCCTCTGCGCATACATTCTCGCATCCTCACCCGAATTACAATAAATAGCCACTTTTTTCCCTTCGGCATGCGCAGCATCTTTGATCTTCTCAATCGCCGCGTTGAGCTCTGGTGCGATTTCTCCCGTGAGAATAGGGTGTCCGATGTTATTTCCTAGATCGAAGGGGCCGATGAGAAGGACGTCGACGCCCGGTATAGCTGCGATTTCGCGGACGTGTTCGAGGGCGGGTGCGGTTTCGATTTGGACAATAGTTACTAGCGTTCTTTTTTTTCCCTCTAAAATCAGTAATTTGAATCGTAAGGGGAAATGTTGATGTCTCGCGGTGTTTTATGGGGTTGGATGGGCAAAGGAAAGGGGCAGGGGAGACTGAACGAATTCGCATGTTGCAGATAATACGACATTGCTTCGTTTCCGAAACACTGTGTTGGCAGCGGTGATCCAAATCCGCGTGTACCTTGTGGAGGAAACTTTGCAGATGAAACGAGGCGTTTTGCATCGTCGACGGTGTAGATGAGGGGGACGATTATGCCGTGTGCGCCGGAATCGAGGGCGCCTGTTTTCTCCCTCTTACTATCAGCTATTCGTGCATACCAGGTTTGATTTGCCCGTCTCAAGGTTTCCTTTTACTTTTATCTTCTTTGTGGGATTGGAGAAATCACACATGTTTGGGGGTTTCATATGTTTTGGGAATAGGGAAATGGATAGGAACTTACGCTTCACCATCCACGCCTCATTCGAAGCAATTCTTACAAGCGGACTTACGCCTGCAAGCGCAATAGCAGTGACAGCCTCGTGCATTTCGCTATCGGATATGTTGCCGTGTTCCGTGTCGACGCAGATCCAATCGACGCCTGAGCGGGCGATTGAGCGGGCGAGGTTGGTACCTGGGAGCATCTGACATTCATCTTCTTAGTATCTATTCGCTATGGTGGTTGTTGAGTTAAAGTAAACTACTAGGGAAGAGATTAAACAAACCTGCCATCCTCCGAACGTCGGACTGGGCTTTTGGAGGGCCTTGTATATTCTGCTTGCTTCTTGGAGGGTGTTCATTTTTCTTGTTGAAAAGAAGAAACTGCGTTTGTGTAAGGGGGAGGGATTGAGGTTGTTGATGATTGGGACTTGTTTTTTTAGGAGGAGGAGGCGTGGTAGAGGTGTGAGGCGGAGAGAGGGTAGCTTCGTCATAGCTTGTTTGTAGGTGTGTATGCGTAGGGAGGGGTAGCATGGGGGGTGGAGCAAGCTTCCCCACATATTTTACCCCCACACACCGCGGTAGAAGGATGCGGCTCCGTGGGGAGACCAGATGAGGTAAGCCGGAAGGTGGTTGAGGGCTGGGGGCGAAGAAGCTTGATTTAGGGTGATGTATAATTGGTTGGGCTTGGTTTTGATCGTGTTTGCTGTTTGTTGAAAGCACATCAATCTTTGTCTAGTCATGTGTGTTTGCTTCGAGCCGTTCAAAATCTCCATCACCACGGTCGTGTCGGAGAGAAATACGTGAATACACAAAGCGAAGTCGAAGAGCGAAACGTCGGCAAGAGCTGGTTCACCAAATCGATCTCCGGTGGTAACGTTACACTGCATATGTAGAAGAAGCGTGCCGCTGCAGTGCGTAATGTTCACGCAATAGTCAGGGTATTTGCATACACATGAGAAAAGTTGGAGCGCTAGTTAATGCAGAACTTCAAGTCTAGGCTATAGCTTGTCAGAAGCATTCATGTATGGTGTGCAAATGCTGGGGACAAGTGATCGCGTTACGACTGTATGGTGCATCACAAAGGTCGTTTATGAGAAGCAACTCTAGTGACCTGTTCTATTGCTATTTATCCAGATATGGTAAAGCAACTAAGCTCAATCACCAAAGAGTGTTGAAAGGTATCCCGATCTAAAAGTCGTTTCTCTTTGCCAGGAGGTGACACATGGCAGTGCCGCACAGCACACCAACAGTACATAACTGGCAACTCAAACCGCTCTGAACACTAGTAATCGGCGATAGCACACAGCCTTGATAGCGTCTCTATGCTGCCGCCCTGAGAATGAACTGGCAGTTGGGAGCTGTCGCCATCTGATACGTGATGAGTTCCGTTCCTTCCTCTTTGGCTCCGCCACGGACGTTGAGCTGCTTCTTGCCATCCACGTGGTTGATGCTGTATCAAGATTAGCGCAGCCCCGAATCCGAGAGAGAGAAAAAAAGAACAAGACACGTACTAGTAGGCGCCATTTCCGGCATGTGCAAGCTTCCAGCGGATTGAGGAGTCCTTAGGGGGAAGGAGCTGAGTGGTGACTACCTTGCTCGTGTCTATGGATTTCGTGTTAGTGCTTCAACTTTCTAGTTGCTGACAGCAGGATTGTAATTTGTAGTACCGTGAGCAGTCATGTAGAGACCAGAGTTGACGGGAATGATAAAGTACTCGCGGTCGCCCTTTTCGGGGTTACCGCCGACGCCTCCAGCGCAGACAATCTGGAATTGGTGGTTTGATGCATTTGGGACTTTCTTGCTGTAAACCTGTTAGTCGGATAGTTTTCGAAACACAGGATAAACAGGATGGGTATGGTAAAGGGATGATGTACTAGAGCTTGACTTGGGTGCCTTCCTTCTTTTCGCCTTTCCAGATGTCGAGCTCCATCTCAGGGGCGTGGAAAGGAGAGATGGTGTAGATTCCGGGGCCGGTGTAGTCAGACATGATGAAGGAGGTTGGTGTTGGAAAATCGGGAATGGGGTTGAGTGGAAGTGTTGTGGTTTGTGTAGATGAAGAAGAAGCTTGAGTTTGATGATTGATTCCAAGGAGTCAGGGAGAAGGGGTTTATATAGACGATTTAGACATAGAAAAACCACTGCTTCGGTATGAAGATTCTCATGGCCAACTGAATATAGACACATGACTTCAACATCCGGTGTATACATATGCAAGGTAGTTATGCACATATATGTAACATGCATCTGCTTTTTCTGACACTCGATGATCGTTACTTATGTGAGGGGAGTGCGTATGCTGCTGCATACTATTCACTACCCATATCTACTTTCAAGGCAGTTCTTTTTGTGTAAACTTGAGTTTGGTCTCGTTAGAAGAGATTGACGTGGACTCTCCAAAGTATATGGGTATATCACGACAAGTAGTTGATTAAATTCATTTGAGAGTAGATGCTCGTAGAGCGGGTGTGGGGATTGGTGCAGCATGATTATGCGGGGTCGGCCCGAGCCTTTGATGCTTGCTTTTCCTGTGTAACATTAGTTGCATGCATCGAGGCAATTACTTGGCCTTGCATAATATCATATGTTTCGACCTTAATTAGTGACTTCCAAGGTAATGAAGACACGACCGTGAATATATAATCTACAATCAAAAGGATATTATATTGCTACAAGTGCCAGAAAGACACTAAGTACGTCTCCGATAGTATCAAATGCTCATAACGTTTCCATTGATACAGAAGACAGTCGCCTCATTAATGCAGCTGAATGCAGCTAGTGTAAGACTCTGACTAGTACACCGTTCACATAGCTGGTGGCTACAAGCCCATTTACCGTTCTTATTCAAAAGGATCAGTGGGGAAGGAAAATATTTGTAAAGAGGAGACACTCGAGTAACATAATTTGATGACACAGGACCTAGCATTGAAACATCCACATAAATATCGAATTACTTTTCCTTCTTGGTCGTCTCCAAGAGGAGTATTTCGTCCTGACAGACATGAGATGTATGCACGCTAGTGGATTTAACACCGGATAGTTGGGGGAGAGAGGCGGGTACCGGCCTTGCCATATCTTATATTCTTTTTGCTATGTACATCAATTCGCATCTTTGAATTACTGGTGGTGGAGTCTTGGGATGTATATCGTTTGATCAAACAACTAAAACTGTTCATGTTTCCCTTGCTCTTCGATATTGTCGGTGCTGTCACCATGCTGGCCTGACGCACTCATTAACCAACGCCAGAGGAAGACAGTGCATGGCAAACATGCGAGTATGTTTTCTTTGTTCGTATTCAACTCCGTTCAGCCGACTATGCCAATGAAATGCCAGATTATGTATGATGAGAAGTGGCGAGGCTGTCTGAGGGTTGTATGTTCTCCACTATACGCCTCACCGCTACACTCCAAGCGAGTCTCGTGATCTGTGCAATGGCTGCATCAAAAAGCTCATGTAATATTGGATGTGAGAAATGGACTTTTAATGATATCAGAAGAGACTGAAAAGGGCGCAAAGCGCGTCCAGAAACGATTAGGTTGTGGTAGTGCAGTCTCAAGCTCGCTCAGCCTGATCCATCAGTTTCATCACATCTCCTTCCTTGAAGCGATGCATGAGTTTAAGCGATGACGCTGAAGTTTCTTGGGATCCAGCCTTGTCAATGTGGATCTAGTCGAACATTCAGGTACTCTTCAGGAAAGCATATATAGACAGAGATAGTCCAGGTTGGCTTACCACCGGAGTATCAAACTCGTACAAGCCTTTCCACTTGTCCTGGCCCTGTTCCATGACATTGATCTCGTGGTACTCGAGCGGCCGCTTTGCCTTTACATTATGAACAACCGCTTTTGCATCGTCACAAAGGCTGCATGGGGTTCGGGTGAAGAAGGTGATGCGGCAGGCGAGTAAGCGAGAGGTAGCGCGCAACATGGTGGGCGGCTGCGGCGCGAAGCAAAGCGACCGAGAAGCATCCAGCAACAGTCGTCGGACCCCAGATGGAAGAAATGCAAAGTTTGGTTGCGCCTTGGCCGAGCACCAAACGGGGACGCCTCGTCGACGTAGAAGCAAGGTCCGCGCTTGGACCCCAGCCTATGACATGATGGGGTGCAACGTTCCAGAATATTCCGACGCGCGAGGTGAACATCTGGGGTTCACGACACCAACGTAAAGAGCGCGCACTCGACGTCCATTACACACTCGGTTTTGCGATTTTGAGAATCTTTGACATGGCGAAAAAGTGCGTTCACAAAGGGTGCGGCAAGACGTACGAGGACGAGAATGAAGAGTGCGTCTACCACCCAGGCCCACCAGTCTTCCACGAGGGACAGAAAGGTAGGTTAGCATGAGGCGACGCCTTTGAATTGGACCAGATGGACTGATTCATGGTAATCCAGGCTGGAAATGCTGCAAGCCTCGCGTCCTGACGTTTGATGAATTCCTCGCAATCGAGCCTTGCACAAAGGGCAAACATTCCGATGTAGACGACACACCTGCGCCCGAGCCTGTTGAGACGCCCGATGTACCCAATGGCACAGCAGTCAATCTAGGATCGCTCGACGAGTCTCTTCCCCCGCCTGCGCCCCGAGTACCTACTGCACAAGCTGCGCCCAAGCCTACAGCCTCGCCTGCCCCACCCCCAGAGTCTGAAGACGACGACCCAAGCATAGCGGTGAAGGAGGGCATGACATGCAGGAGGAAAGGATGCGGTGCTGTACACAAGGGAGGTGATAGGCAGGGGGAGAGTTGCGTACATCATCCTGGCGCGCCAATCTTCCACGAAGGTAGCAAGGGTTGGAGTTGTTGCAAGAGGAGAGTGTTGGAGTTTGATCAGTTTATGAACATTGAAGGCTGCAAGACAAAGGACAGGCACCTGTTTGTTGGCAGTGGCAAGAAGAAGGAGGGTGAGGAGAAGCTGGATACAGTCCGGTGAGTGTGCTTTTTGATGGTGCTCCAGGATGACTGCTGACAACGTCACAGACACGACTACTACCAAACGGCGACTTCAGTGGTCGCCTCTCTGTACCTCAAGAAGATTGACAAGGCCACTGCAAGCGTTGAATTCCAGCCGTCGAGTGTGAAACTTGACCTGCCTACTAGCGACAGTAAGCGCTACCAAACCGAGTTTCCCCTATTCTCGACGATCAAACCGGAAGAGAGCAAGTTCCGGATCCTTGGGACCAAGCTCGAGATGACTCTTGTCAAGGCTGACGGGACGAGCTGGCCAGTGTTGAGGAGTGACGAGAAACCTACCGGTGAGATGATACAGGTCGGCAGGGCCGGAAGGGCCTAGGAACATGGTGGCAGTGCTAGTGACGAGGACATGGTTAGCGTAACAAAAGCATAGCATTTACAAGCACGAAGTTATGACCATTAAGGGTTTGCCCAAGTCTCCATGTGTTTGTGTAGGTGGATGGATGTGCATATCGGAGGGAGATGTGCTTATTAATCATGACGTACCTTCCCCTCAGTGAATCGGCGTTTATGCAATCCGAGTGTGATATGATGCCACTGGTGGATTGGTAAACATATACCTCTGATTAGTATCTCTGGTTGCTGTTATAAGGCGGTAATCGTGAGCTCTTGATAGTGAATAGTGAACAAGATATAAAATTGTCTGTTCTTTCTTCTTGCTCCGACATCACATTGTCTTTTTCTCAAATCACATTACATCATACATCATGACCTCGAGACTGATTACAGTTGTTGCTGGCGTCGGACCTGGAACCGGGGCATCCATAGCCCGCAAGTTCTCCGCCAAGTACCCTGTAGTGCTGCTTGCGCGCAAGCCGGAGAACTATGAAGGCCTGGCACAAGAAATAAACTCCAAGGGGGGTAAGGCGATTGGCATCAGCACTGACGTGTCAGACGCTGGCAGCCTGGGGGATGCGGTTGCGAAGATCAAGGAAGAATTCGGAGCAGATGTGGGGGCAGCAGCCGCCATCTTTAACGCATCTGGTGGGTTTCTTCGGAAGCCGTTCCTGGAGGTTGGGGCGGATGTTTTCCAGGCCAGCCTGGGGGTTAGCGCAATGGGGGGGATTCTGTTCAGCCAGTCGTTCCTGCCTCTGCTGCTCAAGGGTGTGCAGCAGCAGTCAGAGCACCCGCCGTCGCTCATCTTCACGGGGGCGACAGCATCGGTGAAGAGCAATGCGCAAATGGCATCTTTCTCGACGGGCAAGTGGGCGCTGCGGGCGCTCAGTCAGAGCCTGGCGCGCGAGTTTGGACCGCAGGGGGTGCATGTTGCGCATGCGATTATTGATGGAGTGATTGACATTCCGAGGACCAAGGAATGGCTCAAGGACATGCCTGCTGAGGCAAAGTTGAATGCCGACGCGGTAAGTGTTTATCTCTTACCTTTTTTGCTTTTTCTGCCTTTTTTTTCTTTCTTTCTCGCGAACAATGTCGGAAACGGGCAATGCAGGGCTAATGGGGAGGGTGATGTGCAGATTGCGAATGATTACTGGTGGTTGCACACGCAGCCCAAGACCAACTTTACGTGGGAAATAGACCTTAGGCCGGGGGTTGAAAAGTGGTAAGAGGGGCGAGGTGGTTGATGGGATGCGAATGCAGGCGCGAGTAGGGAACGGGAGCACGTGGGCGGGTGGACGCATCTAGGCAATTAGAGTAGGTCGGGGAATGGCGATTGGAAGAATAATCACGCAATGCTCTCCACTCTGGTGTGGCACGGTATATGACGGACGTATCAGAGACATATGCAGGTGTGGTTATGTCGCGAAGCCTCAGATGGGCGAGGGAGGCAGATGCACAGGTGTCACCTCTGTCGACAGTCGCGGTAAGCGGGGAGGTGGGAGTGGTTGTGCGCCTGGGGGGGAGGGGGCCAGGTGGGCAGGTGGGCAGGTGGACAGACGGATTGAGCAAGATGCAGCGTAGGCAAGTGTGGCAGCATGGGCAGCGCAGAATCTCACGCTGGCCAGGCTGAGAGTCCGGACGCATGCGTATGCACGACATGGCCCGCTACGCGGCAGCGAAGAGGGGCCCAAACGTTCCCCGCGCATACACGACGAGGTCATGGTGGGCTTGCTATGGCTGGATGGGTAGGGTAGAATGCTTGGCACCACCCCCTCGTGTGCAGGGCCAATTCCACATGGGGTCATGCGAGGCCCGGCAGAGACCATGGCCATGTCCGCACGGAGCAGTGGATTGCTATCGTAGCACTCCGCGGAAGGACGGCGCGCGACAACTCATCAGCCTGTCTGTCAGACGCAACGGCAGTCTGAGATGATACTGTATTTATTTATGTACATAGTATAGGTACCATGGACTGGGTGTCGAGTATGCGCAGGGCGCTCAATGGGGAAGACAGGGCCGAGAGGCTCATGTCATGTGAAAGTCGGACGCCAGCCCACGTGTCGAGTCAATGCGACAGCCAGCACGAGCATCCAATCCATCCATCCATCCATCCATCCAGACAGACAGACAGACAGACAGACATGACACAGACACAGACAAGCGATACGGACAGCGACAACAGCCACGATCGGTAAGTCGACGGCTTCTTGGCGGGCCGCCGTCCAAGTCGATATCCGCCATGGCTAGGCTAGGCCAGGCCGTGTGCTGGTCGGGGGGCCATGACGTATCAGCAAGCATGACAAGCATAACGTCTTACGGCAGCGCGGCAGACAACGAAAGGCGGACGGTGGACGGGAGGCATCGCTTAAAGGACGGGCGACGCCAAGTTGCCCCGTTGCCCGCGCCCCGTCGATAGGGCAATCATAATCGATGAATTCAATACCCGTCAGGCCCGCAGCTCCACGACCAGCCCAGCACTCCCACCACCACCACCACCACCATCACTCTGGAACCCCACGATCCGAGGCCAGACTGCCCCCCAGCCTGCCTGTCTGTACACGCTGCCCTCGTGCAGACGACTGAAGTGCTCCCAACGCGCCCCGACTCTGCACTTCTTGCTGCGCCTTTTGCTGCCGTCTGGCCCTGATCGTCTTCGCTTCCTCTGGGATCCGCCCCCTCCCCCAGCACCAGCCCAGCAGCCCTGCATCTGGCCTTGTCCGGCCCGCGCGTGCTGTGCACAATTGCCCCCCCCCCCGACCAGCCAGCGACGGCGATAGCAGCTGCGACAGACGACAATCAGACGACTAGCAACGCGTCTGCGCCGCCGCCCCTCGCTGTCCACCACCCCGCCAGTCAGCCTCCCCAGGACTCGACTGTTACATCCACCATCACCAAAAAAGCTTGTTCCGACGACGCATTACCAAGGCGCGCTCTGCTCTGTCCAACCACCCCCAGTTTACCCTGCTGTTCGCCCATTGCCTCCTCTCATGACTGGTGAGAATGCACCGCGGCTAACTGCACTGCCTGTTTACGCTCAACATCAACCACTTCGTCCGCCACAATCGCCGCCCGCCCAGCACCACCAACGCCAACAGCCTCACCACCATCAACAACAACAACAACAACAACCGCAGCAGCAGCAGCACTCACCATTGACCCAGCGCTCCCCATCCACAGTCAAGGCATCTCCACAGCAAACTCCAGGCCCCCTTGATGCCACCAGCGGTAGTGCTGAACCCTCCGCGAAAAGAGGCATGCGCTCACAAATTGCATGTGCCAGATGTCGCCGAAGTAAGACCAAGTGTGAAAATGCTGGTCAAGGTACCACCTGCAAAGCCTGCGCAAACACCAAGCGCGACTGCATCTGGGACCACGCTGCTGTCGCAACCACTTCGGCACCACCGCGACGCGACAGCACCGCAGACTTTGATGTAAGTAAGTCATGGCAGTGTAGACCTCGATGACCTACTGGCCTCGTTACCACCTGCCCGTCCATGTGCAACACGCTTCTAGTACTGACCTTCCACAAGGCTCCACCAAAGAAGCGTCGCAAGCTTCTAGCCACCACGGCGGCTGGCGCACAGCGTCCAATAGAAGGCCTTGGCACCTTTGAAGATGCCCTTCAGTCGCCTATCCTTACTGCCCAGGTCTGGGAAGAGCTGGTAAATGCGCGCCGCCATCCCCCACCTGTATTCTTACTCACCCCGCCCAGTTTGACATTTACGAAAAGCACTTCTCCATTGACTTTCCCTTTTTGCACAAGAGAACCTTTTTGAGTGCCGTGCAGCAGCTGCAGCCTTTGGCCAACTCGACTGATGCCAAGACACAAACACAATCTCAGCTCCATCAGCCATACCCACCTTTACTCCTGGCCTTTCTCACCCACACAGCCCGCTTCCATGACAAGCTTGTCCAGCAGACCGAAAATGACCCCATCAAGACTGCCGAATTCTATGCCCAGGCTACGCGCACCCAAATGGGTGCTGAAATCTTTGGCACCCCAACCCTAGAGAAGATCCAGACACTTCTCATGCTGGGCTACTATGAATGGACGGCACTGCAAGGCCGAGAGGGCTGGATCAAAATTGGAACTGCCATTAGGTGTGCAATTGTCCTTGGATATCCGCATCTCGATGTCGACCAAAAGGGCCAGCCGGCTGCGTTAAGAGAAGGCGAGAACCGCTTATCCGAAAAGGATCAATTCATTCTCCGCGAGACTCAACGCCGCACTTTTTGGAGCTGTTGCCTCATGGACTCGTATCTCAGCTGGGGAGAAGACCGACCGCCAATGCTGGGACCTGAGCACTTTCAAAGGACCCAGCTTGTTTGCAGTGACGGCGCATTCAACTATGGACGCAAAGCGCGGACAAGACTGCTAGGCGAGGACGATGCTGCGTACGCCAAGCGGAGAGCAGAGTGGGACGCACTGGCTCGACAGCATCGCAATGAGCAGAATGGAGATCGAGCTTCTCAGCTAGATGGGGGAAAGTGGGAGATTGGTGAACACGAGGCCGAACTCACATGGTACATAAAAGTCGTCATTGTTTTTGGCGAAGTGGTTCGGTGGTCGTGTAATAGTGGACGGCGGTATGTCATCGTATCTTCCGACTAAGCATTAGCGGCGCTAACAAATGACAGGCAAGAGGGCAAAAACGCACCATGGCATTCCACCACGACGTTCAAGAAACTCGAAGACAAGCTCAAACAATTGAAGCGTGACTTGCCTGACCATCTCCAACTAACTGCAGAGAATACCGAGGACCGGATCTACAACAACCCTGGAAAGTATGTTTCGATACATGCCATGTACACGCTATGCTTTGTTTGGCTCTACAGAGAATACATGCCCACGTCACCATGGACTTTGACACACCCTCGCGGTCCTCTAGACGAACCACTCATTGACGAGCCTCCTCCTGACTCCGAGTATTGGATCAACCAAGCCAAGGACTGCGCACGGGCCTGCAGCGACTTTACCCAATTGCTACATACCATCGGGACTACCAGAGTTCACAGTGACTCGGTGCAGACACCTACGGTGGCATTTGCTTGCTTCGCTGTTGGTATATGCAGTAAGTTTATGCTTCACTTTTACTAGAGTTCTACTAACAGTGGTAGCCATTTACTGTCACTACTTTCCCAACATGGACCCTGATAGCATGCTTTCATCACGCCTCGAGCCCAGAGCTCACGACATTGCAAACGGCTTCCTGTTCCGTATCCTTAAACGCTTCAAGATGGCTCGCTCATGGCTCTGCGAACTGGCTGAGTGGCAACGGTACTACCGGCGCGAAAAGAAAAAGTACAGGGACTGTGGTGGTTCAGTTAGCGACTCGCCCAAAAGTAACAATAGCGATGGCGTTGGTGGGGGCGGACTGAAAGACTACGCGCAATTGTTTGAGAGGATGCACAAGCAATTTGGCAAGACGGTCGATGACTACAGTAACTGGTCTACCAGGGATATTGACTTGGCCGACACCAGGTTATCGCACGATGACGATTCTGCCGAGCAGACGTCGCCGCGCAGGTCTGCTGCTGTCAAACCTGAGAAGGAAGGCACATTTGACAACACGCCAAATCAACAGGATACAGTCACAAACGCCTTTACGCCTGTGAATCAGCATGAAATCCGAACGCCTCCAACGACGCAGGCTCCCACCTATGGTCCCCAGACGAACACTTATGTTTACCACCCAGACTCTACGCCACAATACCGAGGACACCCCTCGCAACCAACGGCCACATACCCGTACGTAAGTAACTCTGTTCCCCAAACCAACATGTCGACAGCGAGGGGTGGGTTTGAGCCTGGCCCGAATCATTTCACACACGCACCGCCTATTCCCATAGAGGCTACATATGCTGGTTGGCCCTTGCCAGGGTCAGCTAATATGAATGCAGCTAGAGCAGCGATAGAAGCTGGGGGCGCGCAAACATTTAACAACTCTACTGCTTTTGGCACACTCATGTTGGGCGATGCAGCACTTTATGACACGACGTCGAACTGGACAATGGGCGTCGAGCCCTCCACTTATGATAGCAACAACACCAACACAGCTTTTTACCCGCCAAGTAGCTCTGTACCCACTTACCAATACCAGCAGTCATGAGCTGTACAAAGAGACGAGACGGACGCATCCGGGGATAGATACTGGCGTTGAATGATCAACCATCGGTCGCCCAGCAAAAGCTTCGGCGTATAGTTGGGCGACATCTCTTTTTCCATTGTATATAAATTTCTTCTTCTCCAAGCGACATAATTCCGTCGTTGTGGAACCCTTTTTTTTGTCGAGACCATGGGACACACATCTGGTGTTTTTTGATTAGGGGGAACAACATACACACATGTGATGCGATTGCAAGCTTGATTTTTTTTTCTGTTTTCTTTCTCGACAATCGTTTATCGCATTTAAAGCATCTCCGAGGTAGATGGGGCGTTCAGAGCCTAGCTTGAGCATTCGTCGGTTGCATGTGTTTTTTTTTCTCCCATCTTGTTTTGGCTGACGGGGGGCAATTCGTGAATCGCATTTCTGGCCAACAACGGGGAAGGGGAGAGGGAAGCAGAGCATATGGAAGTGCAAATAGTTTTATACGTTTTTTTTGACATTACGCCGTTTTTTTTCTCTCCAACGACTACTTCGTCTTTTTATATACCCCGCACTCCTCCAAATTCGCCAAGTAGACAAAAACACACAAACTATAGAATATCAAAACAATGTTACCTCGGTACTTTTACTCGCAAAAATCCTACCTCGTAACCCGTACCCATTTGTAACCCATACCCATAATACCGACGTCATATCACGCAACCCTACTGTGTACGGTCTATCCCCTCCGTTCCGACACTAAAAAGTCGGATACCCTACCTAAAACGGGTAGTAAACGGTGTTGTACCTTACCTTTACCGCCCATCCCCAACCCCAACCACCCCGGTTTACCTTAAGCCTTTTTATTCAAGCTTGCGCTAAAAAGCGGGGGGGGGGGGGGCGGGCGTGCGTAGGTTGCATCGGGGGTGTAACTTTCCCGCCCGGTTCCTGGGGGGTGTGTGCTTGAGGATATTGGTGGGAAATTGAGCGGCGGCGGAGGAGGAGGAGGCGGGGAGGGAAGGGGAAGGGTAAACATGGGAAGGGATTCGCGATTTTCGAGTTCCGGCCGGTGACGGGGGAAAGGTGGAGAGAGAGGGAAGATTTTGTTTATGTTTTGAAGTAGTACGTTGATGGATGGTTAAGTTGAATGATGACACTTGCAATCCCCCCCGAGCGCAATTACTTGTGCGTTTACTATATTAGCATTGGAGAAAAAAATAGATGTAAGAATAAGAATCGACATCTTTGGCGCTCAGCAAATTTGACCGGTTTCCCGGTCCCGTTTTCTTCGTACGACAAGGCGAGAGAGAGAGAGAGAGAGCGGGGAAAGAGGCGACTGGGGTATGTATTGTAGGCGATGGAACCTCATGCACCATGGTGTCATTGTGCCGCTTCTTCCACGCCCTGACATGTTGTACTTATGCAGTTACAGGAACAATCACGCGAAAAAGAGAAAAACGCGCGCCGACAATCCATGTACGATGCCGCGTCGGTCCGTTGGTGCGGAATAGTTCATAGATCCGAATAAGTAGTAGTATGGATGGTGTAATTGAGTTTGCGTACTACTATATATATTAATACTGGGGTTACCATCGCCCTTTTCCTTTCCTGCTGTCCTTGTGTTTTGCGCAGACCTAGCTTTTCTGCCATTTATTTCGACTTTTCTGCTGGGCAACAGTACAGAGTAGAAAAGAATGAAAGGCTTTGCTGGGGGCGCGATTGCGCTGGGATGTCTTGCTGTAGAGGGTGCAGCGAGGGCTGTCGGGTATACGTCGCCGACGGACTTTATCAAGCCGTATAAGAGGGGACCGTTGCAGGATATTGTAAGTCTAAGATCAAAAAATGGGAAATCGAATGTGTGTGGCAATTGGGAGATGTTGACTTTGACGAATAGGTTACTTGGGATAAAGACTCGCTGTTTGTCAATGGCGAACGCATCTTCTTGTACTCGGGCGAAGTCCATCCGTTCAGACTGCCAGTTCCGGATTTGTACCTTGATATCTTCCAGAAGATCAAGGCGCTGGGATTCAATGGCGTGTCCTTCTATGTCGACTGGGCGCTGCTAGAAGGCAAACCGGGTGTGTACCGTGAGGAAGGCGTGTTCAGTCTTCAGCCTTTTTTCGATGCGGCGCAAGAAGCGGGAATTTACCTTCTTGCTAGACCAGGTCCTTACATCAATGCCGAAGCTTCTGGTGGAGGCTTTCCCGGGTGGATCCAGCGTATCAATGGCACGCTGAGAACTCGTGCACCAGACTTTTTGGCGGCGACTGACAAGTATGTGGATGATGAACTATTTGCAATATTTGATACTGATAATGTCTAGTTATATGAAGAACATTGGCGCCACGATTGCCAAAGCACAAATCACGAATGGAGGACCAATCATTCTGATTCAGCCAGAGAACGAGTACACTCAGGCAACAAGCGCAATCAAGCCGTTTCCCGATCCAGTCTACATGACCTATGTCGAGGATCAGATCCGCAATGCCAGCATCGTTGTGCCGCTTGTCAGCAACGACGCATCTCCAAAGGGATACAACGCTCCTGGTACTCCTGCGGCAGTCGATATCTATGGACACGACGGATACCCTCTTGGCTTCGATTGTGCCAATCCTACCAGATGGCCTGACAACAACTTGCCGACAAATTGGCAACAACTGCACCAGCAGCAAAGTCCGACCACTCCTTACTCAATCATTGAGTTCCAGTCAGGCAGTTTTGACCCTGTAAGTCTGCAAGCATCAAGATACTACTAGCATTATCTAACATTTCGTAGTGGGGCGGCCCAGGTTTCGACAAGTGCGGAATTCTAGTCGGAGCAGAGTTCAACCGCGTTTTCTACAAGCAGCTCTACAGCTTCGGCGTCACCATCCTGAACCTATACATGACCTTTGGCGGTACCAACTGGGGAAACTTGGGTCACCCAGGAGGCTACACATCGTACGACTACGCCGCACCGATTGAAGAAGACCGCCAAGTCAAGCGTGAAAAGTACTCTGAGCTCAAACTCCAGGCAAACTTTTGGAAAGTCAGCCCTGAATACCTGACTGCTTCGCGCGGTGCTGCTTCGACCTCGACATGGACTACCACGAGTGATCTCAGCGTTACCCCTGCGCACGGCAACAAGACTAGCTTTTACTTCTTGAGACATGCCAAGTATAATTCGCTGGCGACTACGAGCTACCAGCTCAAGATCTCGACGCAAGCCCTTGGAAACATTACTGTGCCACAGCTCAATGGTACTTCGCTCACGCTGAACGGACGTGACGCAAAGGTCCATGTTGCCGACTACGATATTGGTGGTACGAATATTGCTTATTCGACTGCTGAGATCTTTACCTGGCATAAGTACGAAGACAAGACTGTTCTGGTTGTGTATGGTGGTCCAGGAGAAACTCACGAGCTTTCTGTCGAAACTACTGGGCTTGAGGTTATTGAAGGCGATGTCAAGAGCGTAGCCACTCGCGGTCACACACTGCTGAGCTTCAAGGCCGATGCTATGAGAAAGGTTGTCAAGTTGGGAACTGAGAGCCCCATTTACGTCTACATGCTTGGTAAGTTTCTTGGATGAAGCGACATATATGGGGATTTTGCTGACGGGATTTCAAAGAACGTAACGAGGCTTTCAAGTATTGGTCGATTGACCAAGCTCCGCATGACGCTTCAAACCCTGCCATTCTCAAGGCAGGCTATCTGATGCGTACGGCCAAGGTCACTGGCGACGTTCTCGCCCTGACCGGCGATGTGAATGCCACCACGCCTATCGAAATCATTGGCGGTGTTCCTGCTGGTCTTTCCAAGTTGAATTTCAACGGCAAGGACGTTTCTTTTGAAACTTCCAAGAAGGGTACTTTCACTGCGACCATTGACCTTCCCAAGCCTAACATCAGCATTCCCAAGCTGAGCGAACTTGAGTGGAAGTACATCGACTCTCTTCCCGAAATTCAGCCCGGATACGACGACAGCAAATGGACAGTCGCAGACCTCAAGAAGACATACAACTCTCTCCGTCGACTAACCACCCCCGTCTCGCTGTACAGCTCCGACTACGGCTACCACACCGGCACCCTCCTCTACCGCGGCACCTTCACAGCCACCGGCAACGAGACAACCCTGCAACTCTCGACTCAAGGTGGCTCAGCATTCGGGTCCTCCGCCTGGATCGGCACGCAATTCCTTGGATCCTGGCGCGGTTACGACGCCGCCATGAACGGCAACTCGACCTTTACACTCCCCAAGCTAACCGCCGGAACAAAATACACCGTCACCGTTGTAATCGACAACCAGGGTCTCGACGAAAACTGGACCATCGGCACCGAAACAATGAAGAACCCACGTGGTATCCTCGACTACAAGCTCTCAGGCCACGATGCTTCGGATGTGACCTGGAAACTCACCGGTAACCTAGGCGGAGAAGACTACCGCGATATTTCACGCGGCCCACTCAACGAAGGCGGCTTGTTCGTAGAGAGACAAGGTCTTCATCTCCCCGGTGCTCTCTCCGCCTCAGATATCGATTGGAAGCCCTCTGCTGGCCCCATCACCGACGGTATCAGTGCCCCCGGTGTCGGCTTCTTCGCTACAGAGTTCGAACTCGACGTCCCATCCGGCTACGACGTGCCTCTCAGCTTTACCTTTACCAACGCTACGTCTTCGTCTGCTGGAAGCAGCGTCCCTGCTTACCGTGTTCAACTCTACGTTAATGGATGGCAGTATGGCAAATACGTTAATAATGTGGGACCGCAGACGAAGTTCCCTGTTCCTGAGGGCATTTTGAACTACAAGGGGTCGAATTATCTGGGCGTGTCGCTTTGGGGATTGGATGCTGGAGCGACCAAGATTGGTGGGTTGGAAGTTCAGGTTGATGCGGAGATTTGGAGTGGACTTGGAGATGTGGCGGTTGTGGAGGGAGAGAAGTATGAGAAGAGGGAGGGAACGTATTAGATATCTCTCACCGAGATGAGTTGTTTATACGAATGACCTTATGATTATGAAACCAAAGAAAATCTATTTAATTCGTCTATATGCTTTTAATACTACAAAAAAATACATGAGACTTGACTCCAGTCCAGTGCGTAACACAGTTCGCCTATAGTGCATCCATATTCATACCAGGATACTCCGGCACCTTCCACACACTGTCCTTCCCCTCTGGCACCAAACCCGCCAGCATCCCTAGTACCTTATCCACCCTCAACACAGCCATAGTCCACAGCACAGTATTCACAGCCCAAATCCCCCACGCAGACCGAGGAAACATGCCCTTCCCCCCATTAACCAAAGCCCCCAACTTCTGATTCTCCTCAACCGGCTCCTTCATCTCCTCCTGATACGCCCTAAGCGCCGCACCCACATCGCCCGCATGCTTTCCCAACTCACCCACAAGCACATACGCGCCAATTAGCGCGAGTGTAGTCCCCATTCCCGTAAAGGGCGAGGGACAGTACCCAGCATCACCGAGCAACACCACTCGACCCGAATACAACTGCCTCCCCGGCATCTTCACCTGCACAATCTCCGTAGCATAAAAATCCTCTGCACCATCCAACTCGCGCACAAAACGCTCACACTCCCATCCCGCATCGCGATACAGCTCCGCCCACACCTTCTTTTGCTCCTTCACTGGCAACTTTTGCGCTGCTTTCAAGACAGGCGTGCGGTGTGCATTTGCCATTTGGATAAGGTACACTTGCGTTTCTGGGCGGTCGCCGGAACGTGTCATGGTGAGCCGGTTTTCGGGGCTAGAGTACATGCGAGCGAGACTGGTTTCGTTGGGTGATCGTGGGATGGGGAAGAAGGCGGCGTGGGTGTTTAGGGAGGTGTAGGCGGAGGTGTTGACTGCTTCGCCGAAGACGAGGCGGCGGGTCCGTGAGTTTTGGCCGTCGGCTGCGACGATAAGGTTGTAGGATCTCGTTTCGCTGGTGGAGAAGGTGGCGGTTGCTAGATCTGGGGTGGTGGTGTCTTGGGATATGGCAGTGAGGGTTGTGTTGAAGAGGTAGGTTAGGCTACCGCTTGTATGGCCTTTGGTGGTTAGAGTTTGTCGGTCTGCGAGACTGGCTGTGTACATCATTTTTACAAAGTCGCCGCGCATGAATTCGAATTCGTTGGTGAGTTCGAAGGTGCCGCCTTTGTCGCCGGCTTTTGTGACGCCGAATTTCATAAGACTTTTGCCGTGGAGGTCGATGAGCTCCATTCCTGTTTCGTTGACGCAGTATTGGCGGAGTTCTTCGAGGAGTCCTAGGCGACGCATGATGGGGATGCATTGGGCTGTGAGGTCGAGTTGCTGGCCGCCGGTGCGGAGACTGGGCCAACGTTCTATGACTGTGATGTTGTGGTCGGGGTTGGAGCGTTGCAGAAGGAGAGCCAGAACTGGACCAGCTACTCCGGCACCTACTATCAGAATGTCGAGGGACTTTGTAGAATTAGATGCTGGTAGGTTGGCCATGCTTGAGATGACTGAGATGGTATTGATAGGGTGATGAATGTGGACTGATAATTGTTTGAAAAGATGAAGTGATGAGGCTTTTGGAAATTATAGGAATATGAATTATTTGGCTGCTTTATTATACCTTGGTTGTTACCTCAAAAAGTCGCTGTGCTTTGCCATGCGGGGATCGATGCGGACATGTTGTCGGAGATCGCATCACCGCACACATCTCCGAGCTCAGCCACAACCACTTGTGGAGTTTTTCTGCGCGATTATTATGACTGCCATGTTGAATCCAGTAATTACTACTGTTGACTGGTGCCATTTTTGCGCGGCTACCTGATGTGACGTAGGTATGCAGATACAGTCGGGCGCGTAGCCTGACAAGAAGATATGGTAGGATGATTGAGGCATTACCAAATCTTGCATCTTACAGCTTATACACATAATTTTGTTGTTGGGGGGTATTGGTGGCTGGAAAGAGTAAAGCATGTGCATGCCATAGTAAGGTTGTGTACTATCACCTAGTAGGCCGCCAGGGTCCGCCGAGGAAAACTGAAGCTCATCCTGTCAACATCACCGAAACCAACCTCCACCACCCCGCAGCCCCCATCTCTACCTGCACAGTACAAACAGCAGCGTCTCGGCCATCAAAACTACACACCCGCTTCGGTCCATCTCTTACGCTCATTCTCGATCTCAACAGGCGTCAGGCAACCCCACGAAGCTTTGCAATGGCCATCTTAGGGACAGCGCTGAATAGCATCGGCGTGCTCTTGCTTACACATGCGTAAGTCGCACACAGCTTACCCGCCCATCTACAAAACCAGAGACATATATATAATTATTCGCATCTATTCGCTCACATGCACTGACGCTGCCAAGTGTCTACTCGACCCACGAACATACAGCAACATTCACAAACACGCCCTTACCCCTCGACATCTCGATTGAGCTCCTCACCTCCATCCTACTCCTCTCCCTCGGCATCGTCATTTCCTTTGCGCCGCTGAAGCCAATACACTACGCACAATGGGCGGGTCAGATGTCACGACAAGGGCAGCAAAGCGAGGGTCGCTACACGAGGGAGGGTGAGGAGGTTTTGAGCGAGGGCGACCCGTATGCCTTTCTCGGTCTGGATGCAGGCATTGGTGGGAACAGCGAAGGCAGGAGGGGATTCTGGGATGTAAAAGGAAAGAGGAAGGAATTCGAGACATGGATGAGGCAAGGTGGAAAGTAGGGTATGACTACAAGAATATACTGTGGACGACGTGTGTCTGCAAGGCCAGCAACGTATCCCGATACAAAAGCCCGGTTCATCAATGAGACAGATTTACAAAATAAGAATGAAAAGACCAACAAACACGCTCGAGCATTCTGAATAACAAGTCCCGCCCATGTGTCGTACACTGCATATCCCGATAATCAATAAATCCCAGACGCCATGCTTAAACGCGCCAAAAAATCCCGTACCAATTCAATCAATCTGTCCCTGCGCAAGCCCTCGGAAGCAGCCTTCCACGCTCCCTCAAGCATCGCTCGCCATTTGCTCAACCTTGTTACCCCCACACGTGTTCATCCTACAAGTCCAGCACTGGTCTCCCTGCATCTCCCTACCGATAGCCGCCACGTCTGCGCTCTTCCTTCTCGGACCTTCGGTGTCCCCACTGACATTGATACCGCTGACCCACCAGATACTGGCTGCAACAATCTTGGTTACAATCTCGACCTCCTCGTCGTCTCTGGGCGCGTAGACGAGCATGAATTCGCGAGGGACAAACTTTCTGCACCACCCACCCCGCGCCAACGGATGGCGCTCGCCCCAGCCGTGAGCCATGATGAGATTCGCGTCAGCCGGGTGCAGCGTCAGGTGCATGGAGCCGTCGCTCGGGTGTGCATGGCATATCTCGCCTCCACAGGTCCTGGTAATGGGGATGCTGGTGAAGAGGCCGGTGCTGTGCTTCTCGAAGCAACTGGTTCGCTCCGTGAGCCTGTTGCGGGGATCGCTCGCGAGCTCCTTGATCTTGAGTACAAGCTTTGCGTAGATTTCCTTTGTGCTAATCTGCGTTTGCTGGCGCTGCGGAGCTATGCCGCGGATCTCTGGCTTATGGCCAGTGCGGTGCGGCAGTGCGTCTTCGATAAAGTAGCCTCTCTGCGGCCGGTAGTGTGGTGGAATGGGAATGGGACGCCGCGGATCCCGCAGGCAGATGAGCGAGAGGAGCTTGATTTTGAGGTAGCCTATGGGTGTTGCGGGAGTGCCGCCAGGGCCGAGGGATAGGAAGGCACAGTAGTCCTTGTGGATGTAGAAGGCGGTGATGACGGGGAAGAGGAGAAGGCCGAGGGTGACGGCGAGACCGTGCATGTATGTTTCGGTGAGCATAGCAGCTGGCTGTGGTACAATGCTCGAAAAGGATGCATTCAGATCTGGAGCAAGGTCCTGCATGTTTGCCGGTTGAGAGAGAGAGAGCCCTTTCTTCTGGCGGATGGGAAAGAAAAGAAAAGAAAAGCAATTGGCGTCTGGGGGAACAACCACAGCTTTATTTAAGCTTCCTTTTTTGACGTTTAGTCGCCGTCTCCCCCCCCAAGCATGCAGGTGCTACTCTGCGGTACCACAGACACAGTTAGCGTTAAGTTTACAGGGGTGGGCGGTGTGTCTTGCGGGAATGCTCAAAATGACGTTGAATTGATACAACGTTGAATTCAGATTTCGAAAAGGGTTTACACGCCAACGTAACACCCCATGGCATTTTCCAAGTACCCCCTCCCCTCGGAGCGCCATGCCCCGTCAGCTGGACCCTGATTGCTAGTCTCTACTACTGACTAGAGGTACTGCTTTAGGACAATAAAGGCTTACGCAGGCCCCGGCTCAACGCGTACCAGGGATGGGAGGCATTTTGCGTGCGTGTGGCTTACAGGGCAAACCAATTGCTCGGGAATCCATGGCACCACAAGCAGCTGATTTCAACAAGCTGGGCGTTTTTTTGTCGTGTGGCCAGTCGAGACCGCAATGTGAGCACACGACTTGCTGTGTACGTACTTTTCCAGGTCCGGCTAGCGCCTTGGCAAGCAGTCGCGGACTGTGAATTGCGATTGGTGCCCATGACTGTGCCCCGTGACGCAGCCTCGAAACAGCCACCGCTGCTCGGCTTCATTGACTTTGCCTTCTCCACCTTTTGGCCATGGCATGCCGTCTCTTCCTTACTCGCCACCAGCAGCATTCCAGGTCTGGCTCCCGGAGCCCCGACCCTATAATACATGTGGGGGAAGACGTAGACGTTGGTCCGCTGTGCTGAGCTCAGCTTATGGTCGTGGCACCCGGCAATGACTTGTACGTGCTGAAAGCTTGACGCCTGGCTTCTCCAATCGCAACGTCTGTATTTCGATCTCTTCGCGTACAGTGTCTTGGTGTTGAGACAAGCATTGGTTCTGTGTCAATCAAGATGCTAGAGAAGCCAAGCATGAGACGGGCTGTGCATAGGAAACAAGATTGCAGATGCTCAGCAACAGTCCAAGATCCAATGCTGCAGCGGCAGTCACCATATCCTGCGCCATCAAACTCTCAGAGTAGCGGTCAGATCTACTATCAGTGTATGTTGTTGGTCTTGTTCACAAGCGCCCTGTAGCATGCATTGCCATCGTATGATCAACCATCCAGAACATAGCATCCCGCCGCACACTTGCGTATATCTGCTTCACTGATACCTTGGATAGATACACGTACGTGTCTGATTACAGCCTACTCTCTCCCCCGACCATCCGTACCTCCAATAGACTTGCGTGTCTCTGCAGAAATTTCTCAACACTGTTAACAAACTTTTCAAGCTCTTCCCAAGGTGTTCCCAATATCACTGCAAGACTCCCCCGCTGCGAGATCCAGAAGCCGTCTTCCATCATCTCAATCCAAAACAGCATGCTCAAGTCACAGTCCTCGAGGCGATCCTGGTAGTTTTTCAATTCCTTTTTACCGTCGTGTAAGAAGTGAATGCCCAGGATCGTTCCTAGCCCGGTGACGGTCATTTTCGTACCATGTGAAAGGCTTTGGAGACGCTGGCGTAATCGATCGCCCATGACGTTAAACTCACGACTCACTTCAGCAGTGTACACTTGCGCCAAACCAGTATACCCTGCAGTCATGCCGAGTGTGTTATTGTTGAATGTACCCGAGTGTCCTAGCGAATTCTTCTCTCGCGGATCATAAACCCGCATGACGTCTGCTCGTCCTCCAAAGGCGCCGAACGTGATCCCGCCACCCAGGAATTTACCTAAAGTGGTAATGTCGGGCGTCAAGCTTTCAAGCTCCTGCAGTCCCCCCGGTGCCAGACGGCTTGTTTGCACCTCATCCAGAATGAACACGGCACCCGCTTTCTTTGCCGACGATTGGACCTGCTGCAGGAAATCATGAGTGCCGACAAGACATGGCCCTCGACCTTGCATACCCTCGACCAATACCGCAGCAACATCTTCAGACTCCTCAATCTTCCTCTTCGCGTCCTCGATGTCATTGAACTCTGCAACGATCCAATCGTCCTTATCGACACAGTTCTCTGCGGGACGATTATCGGGGAAGAGATAGCACCCGCCGTGGTATCCGCCGGAGAACACCACAACCTTTTTCTTTCCTGTAAAGCGCCGTGCGCCCTGAATGGCATGCAAGTTCGCCTCCGTACCGGAATTTGTAAAACGGATAAGGTCCAGCTTGTACCGCTCACATATCAACGCAGCATGTCTTGTTTCCAGCGTAGTTGTACCTCCTAGATTGAGTCCGACAGTATTGATGGTATTAATCAGTGCTGATTGGATGACCGGATGCGAGTGTCCGTACAACCCGGCCGTGAATTCGCCGACAAGGTCCGTATAGGTATGTCCGTCTTCCGAAGTGACCTGATACCCTTTGCCGTTCTTGAGAAAGATTGGAAATGGTGCTGTGTGGAGTACACTTCGTGTGTTGCCACCTGGTAGCTTTTTGCTTGCTTCTTCGTGCAACTTGAGGCTTGTTGGGTTTCTCTTTGCAAACCGTTGTTTTGCGGCTTCGAGTGCTTCGCTTGCGATCGCATGTCCGCTCCTCGCAGTATCGACCGTGGATGCCATTGGGACTGATTACGGATAAGACAGTTTCGCTCTTTAACAGGCGACGTGATATCGATGGAATTCAAGAGGCAATTCGCCTTTATTATATCGGAAAAGTGGTTCGAGAACGAAGCAGGCAGTCATGCCATGATAGCAGGTCGTGGTCCGTAACTCATGATTGGCGCGCGTCTCACAACCGCAAGTTGGGGCATTCCGAGCTATTCCGACTCATTCCGAGCACCGAAAATCGATGTGCGGTGTCGCCTATTCTTCATGTACCATGGTCCTTTATCTCGCCTACATTGTACTACAGAAGGGTACGCCAGCTCATCTTTACATGTGCCACGAAGCTGAGTTGTTGCAGCTCTAGCTGCATATTAAAATTGCTTCCGACGGCTTCTCATGCACGACGGCAGTCAATCTCATTGGCTTAAAAGAGTACTTACTACCATCCGTCCAATCTTTAACGCGGTGTTGGAAATGTACTTCTTTGGCTGGAGAAATGTCATGCGACGAACGCTAGAATCTCTCTTGCTTCAGCTAACAGCGGGCAGCTGTGCCGATATGTAGCTAAAGCTGCACCCCTCTTCTTAGCTGTTTACGGGCTGTCGGGATGATTCTAGGGCGAGACTGTACTCTATTTAGCATAGCAGGTTACCGTCGAGGATCCCTGAATTCATTTTGGCGGGTCCATCCTGGTTTTGGCGGTGGAGGAATGGTAAGAGAATCCACAGCGGCGATCAGCTGTACCACATTCGGTCTAGTCGATCGCCGCCGTGGAATCCGGTCTCCAACGAGGCGTGTATGTTTATCGCTTAAACCAGTATACGAAATTAGAGTTCACATCATTTCAACATCACAAACTTCCATCGAGTTCTGCTGCATCGTGATGTGAAGATATTTTGTACAGCCTTCTGATCTACGAGCTCCAAGACAGGCCGCGCTACGTCATACGGCTTCATTGCTTATACCGAAACTGACTACACATCATTGGATTATCAGCACTACAATATTGAATACTGTATGAATACAAGTTTTACAGAATTCCCAAAAGGAGATGTTACCGAAGAAAGTATCTTGTTGGAGTATCAGGTTGTGCCTGGCCATTCATGGATCCCTTGGCGAAATTAATAAGTCGATACCTGCCGTCCGTCATCTTCTCACTGCCAATCTCAGTGACGGAGTGCTGTCATCTTTCAGACGATAACGAGTTGGATTATTGTTGAAAGATAGCTTCGTTCAGCTTTTGAATCCGATTAACAAATACATCATTGCTTCACTATCGTATATGTGAATAACGGCTCGTCTTCCAAAGAAACAACTCCAACAGTATAGCCTTCGTCCATGATGGAATCAGATCCTGAACCATGCACCATATCCGTCTTTGATGCGACCATGGAAAAATTGAAAAGAAAATTATCAGATGCCAACTTTCTAGATGAGCTTGATATGCCGGACCAATAGCCATACGGGTCACCACTATCCGACATAAAACGTCTAGCAAAGCACTGGGAAACAGCATTTGACTGGCGCAAAGCAGAAGCCCAGATGAATAAACTACCCAACTACCGAAAGAAAGTCCAAGCTAAAGGCTTCAGAGATATAGACATACATTTTCTCCACAAGAAAAGTACCAATACAAACACCATACCCCTCCTCTTCTGCCACAGCTAGTTTGGGTCTTTCCTCAAAGTCACAAAAACCTCCTCCCTTTACTCGACTCCATCTCCCCCCCCGCTCCCTCCCCAACTTCAGCTTCAGCCAAAAAATAAATAAATCACTAAACCAGGTTTTGCACCCCAATACGCAGAAACCTGCAATACACTCATGCAAGACTGTGCCATACCCAAATACATGACGCAAAGCGGAGACTGGGGACTTTCTACGGCTAACCCATATCATGTGTCTATTAATACCCAGAGGCCAAGCATACTAGTACTGCCAAACTCCAACCTGACTCAAAACCGCAAAACCGCTCCCCCCCTCTCTCTCTCTCACGCGCGCTTTTCTTTTTTTGTAGATAGAACTGTTGCTAGTGCTCACGTGCATCTCTACGAGAAAAGCTGTGTGGGAAGTGGATGCATGGGGGGGGCTATTGTGTGGAGGTGAGGATGAAGTGTGATGTGATGTGGGGTTGGTTGGTTTATTTGGTATAGTCGGTGCGGAACTGAAATATCTGTGTGAGGATTTATTATGAGGCAGATGCCGCCATCTGATGGCTGAGGTGCTGGAGAAGGAGAGGAGGGCGAGTGGGTTGGGGGTGGTCAAGTTGGGGGTTGTGCGTTTTTCTGGGGGGGAGATTAGGGGCGTGTCTGCGTTGTGGGTGAAGACTTTAAGGTATAGAATTTTTTGGTTAAATTCATTGCTTTTTTTTGGGGGGGGGGGAATTGATTACTGACATAACTTCTTCTTCTGCATTTTCTTTAGGTCCCCTAGTATACAAGAGCATACGTGATAAAGGTGGTCATTTTGCGGCGCACGAGTGGCCAGATGCGATTGCTGAGGATTTACAAAAGATACTTGGGAGGGGTGGGTCGTGTTTTGGGATTGTGCCTGGTAAGCCTGGATACTTGTAGTACGATTTTGTAGGAGTATTTGGGGATTCGATAGGTATTTTGCATCTTGGGAAGCATGAATCTCTACTAGTGCTTTGATAGCGAGGAAGGTAGTTTAAATAAACGATTCAAGTCATATTATCATAGTATTTCTCTCTAATTTCTCAGCTCTACTGGTGTCGATGCGATTGAGTTTGTAGTCGAGCGATGAGAATCATCGCTCACTGAATCAGAAACTCTATATTCATTTCCCGTTTCCCCAGGGGTAATCTGCGGAAACATTTCGAGTTCAGCCTGGTCAGCTGACTGTGTTCTAGCCGTGTCTGGCAATTAGATTGGTAATGATGCTCCAAAGTTACTACATGTTGCATTAAGTCCCTTTCAGCAGCCAAACCTGGAAAGCTAGAGTACTACCATGACACACCAGTATACTTTCAGCTGATCCTCATACACATAAACGAGTCAGTTGCATAAACAGATCTTCTTGTCGTATATACATCGATGATGATACGAGTGTTTGTATGTTCATTCGTCTCGACCAGAAACGTCGGATTGCAAAGTAATGGCTTGGGCTAGAGAAGGCCAAGGAATAAAGAGAGGTAGAAAACTCCTCTTCATTAGTTTCTATGCATAGGAGACTTATTTGGCCCGGCTAAAATGATACGGAACGTGAGTAATATCGTCATGACGATTTTTTAAAGGTATCAGCACATTAGTCCTTGATACAGGTTGGTCGCAAAACATGCTGTATCAGGCCCGGCGCAATCACTCCGTTCTTTTACAGGAAAAAAGTTTGTTGTAAGCTTATTGATTTTGTGTAGAGGTGCATCATTGGGAAGATTGTGCCGTGGCTAGGTGTTGTTTTGTGAGAACAGGTTAAGTTCGTGGTGGAGCTTGGGTAAAAGTGTAGGCCGGACCCTTGCCTGTTAACAACATGTTCCCAACCAATGACCCATGTGCGTTTGCATTAGAATTGTAAGAAATCTGGCTCGAAAGATTTTTGTGTTTAGGTCTGACGCATCTAGTTGACACGTGCAGATCGATCTTCATTCACTCCTTCGTCCTTGTTACGCGGCGTGGATAGTATAGGTTTCCATAACTAGAATTTGAGGCGCGACTTTTGCTTTGGATAATCTGCCGGCTCCCATCTGTTCCCAGCCAAGTTTTGCCTCAATTGTAATCTGATGTTGCCAGGTAAGTATTGTCAATCCGAAACTGACATGGATACGCAAGGGGGTGTTTTGTAAACCGTCTGTAGGTAGGTTTAATACTGGAAATCAGTTTGAAACACCATCTTCAGCCTTTTTGCCTGATTAGCAGTGTAAGGCGAAGATGCGATGAAAGCACCCGGATTACTGCACAGCCCAAGAGGTTTTGTTGTTGCAAAGCCGCCATTTCTGGTCAGCATGCTAGGAACATTTGTTAGTGCTGATGAAAATGACCCGAAACCCCAAGAGAAGGAACGGAGTAGAACATGAATTCTTCTTAGTGTTCTAGCGTAAGATCGAGCCGTCCTGACTTGAGACGGATGACTGCATACATATTAACGAAGTTTAAAGCGACTTGTTCAGTTGACAGGAAGGGTATCGGACAAAAGGTTGTTACATGAATCCGAAGCAAGTGTAGCGAGCACGGCCGCACCTCAAAAAGGCTTGTCATTGCGCCCTGTGGAGCCGTAAATTGACGTTCGGTAAATGGGTACCGCAAGGACATAGCTTTGGAAATAGCCGTATATTGAACCCCGCACGGGTTGACATGCCCGTATGACCTTTGCTGATGGATGGAATACGAAAAGGGGGTTGATGAAGTGGAAATGTATACGAACTACTATTACGAGAGAGGAGTCATGGAAGATGGGCCTGGATGATTCCAGGGCTGGACCCGTTGAACTGGGGAAGCCTGCCTGTTACCACACAATGGTGCCTGCTCCAGGCATCCTGTTGTTAGTGCGGAAGATCTGCATAAGAGGGGTTCGAATATCACAAAGTCGTGTGGTCCGTACGTAGAGGGCTGGGGCACGGACGTGCTTTCAGGGATACGATGGATGTGCTGCGCTATGTCGTTTTGGTCCGTGGCTGCGGAGCATTCTTTGTGCGTGACAAGTGTAAGGATGTCGACCAAAGCTACCGCAGCGTTGGGTGATGGCGGAGTATTGTCAGTATCCCATCGGATTAGGGTTGAGAGTAGTGATTGTAGTTGACTCGTGGGGCGCTCGAAGCTCTGTCTTCATCCATGGCATCATTTGGTGTGCTTGTAAGATAGTGTAGACACGTGAACGCGCGACTGAGTCGCTAAGGTTGGATTCTTCGTCGACCCCGAGTACTCTATTGAAAGTGGCGCAGCCAGAGTCCACAGACGACACCCTAGCTGGATGGGGGAGTAAGTGTGTACGCAGCAGTCAATGCGCGTGAAGATGACCCGGCAATAAGGGCCCAGAATGTCGAGCGACCGGTACCTGAAAGAGCGGGGCCAGGCGGAGCAATGCAGTCATCATACTTACGCGCGATGCCAGCCAACCCCAATCGGAAATATGTAAGCAAAGAGACAATGGCGCATCAAACAGAAACCAGTGCCCTGGGCCAGACGACAGCGACTCGGTGAGAATTAAATCTTGTACGATACGCGGTGCCGCAAGTCTGGCAGGCGCTGACTATGCCAAGGCTCTTTATAAATAGCATCACGGCAGACCCGGCACCGGCCAAAGCTTGGTACTTCCCCTCACCCTCGCCGACACCACTCCCTTCGACATGGACGTCTCAACGTCGCACACAGCGCCCCAGCGAGGCGGGCCCCACGAGACAGCGAAGCGTCTCGCCAAGGTCGAGATGCGGGTGAGGAGCCGTCGGGCAGGCATGTGAACAACCTCAGACCTTGGCCGTGGTCATCAATGCTCATCAAACAGAAACCAAGGCACTCTAGCTATGCCTCGGTGCCCTGCGCGGCCTAGCGCCAACCTTCCCAATACTCGACGGGACCACGGGCCTTTGACGCCCATGGAACCAGCGGATGCAGGCGCTATCGGAATCTGGCAAGCTCTGGCAAGCCACACGGTACCATCGGATGCTTGTCTGCAACGCCCTCGTCGCCCTGAAGCTACTACTATAAGATGGGCCCATACGCCCACGCGACCCCGACCGACCGCTCTTGCTGTCGCCGTTTTGCCGTTCCACCTCCCACTCTTTTGTCCTTACGGCTGCCACCACCACCATTCACCGTGCCTTCACCCACCATTGTTCGCTCTCTCGCACTTGCTTGACCTTCTTTTGGCCTTTTGACACTCCCTCTCTTGCGCCCTTTTTGTCTTTTGTCAACCCTGCCTTTATTTACTAATATTTCCCCACCTCAACATGAAGCTGTCCACTCTGCTGTTTCTCGTGCCTTTGGCTAGTGCACGGGTTATCCGACCGGCACAGCAAGTACCCATTGTCGACAACGCCGCAGACGACACAACCAGCGTCGAGGATAAAACCACACACGCTTCGCCAAGTATTGGCCTCCACTTTACAACATCACATGCCGTGGCTGCCGCTCATTACCAAAACGGAACAATTAGGGACCTCGTGAGGATGGAAGGAGGCGCCGATTATCAAGATTTGATGCGGCGGTCGATGTCCTCTAGCTCTGGCTACTCTGGACCACTAGAACCCAGCGATGAAATGGTCTTGTCCGGTTTCATGATCCGACTTCACCGAGCCATTGAGACGGAACTGGATGATTCTGTACAACAAGCCGCATTGGCCCTGTCCCCCCAGGCTCCCAGACTCCAACGAAAATTCCAGAAAGCCATGGTATCTGCAGGACTTGCTTCGTCCGAGGACAGCGCCGTACTCTACGAAGAAGCAATGGCTACCCATGCCGCTCTCAAACCTGCATCTTCGTGCACCACACAATCGAAATCAGAACACTTGCAACACGTTCTCTTCCTCGCCTTCGACGACGGCGCTTTCAGCGCAAGCATGCACGAATACGCCTGCAGAGACTACGCATCACAAGGACACATAATCAGCCGCATCATACGCTCTGATCTCGGCTGGTGGCATCTCCCCATGTACGACGCGCCACGAGCAAAATTCTGGGCCCAGGTACAACAAAGCATCGCGTTTGTTCTGAGCCCGCAGGGCAAGGCGCCAGGCAGAATCGTTCTCCTGGGCAGTCACGGCGCAGATGCCGAATTCAAGAACAGAGTCGAGGATGCGCTTTGGGGCGAGCTAGAAATGGACGTGAGCAGCATGTTGAGCGTTAATAAGCGAGGAGATAGCGAATGGCTAGCTGCAAGGGGTGCAGCAGAACTAGCATCGAGGCATGGCGAAAAGAAATACGCTGCATGAAGCTAATTAGGGAAACCTCCCACGATCCATGGAGAGAGAGAGGAAGTGGAAAAGGAAAGGAAGAGAAAAAAAAGAGATACCCTTGATATTTTGTCTAGTTCTAAAAAACAACAACAACGGGAAGAAAGCATAATGATCATTGCAAGCAAAATAAAAATAATATTAGATGAACGGACACCACACACATACGAAATGTATAACCAAAATAATATTTTAAAAAAAACTCTCAATCAGAACCATACTATCAACACGCATCTTTGCTCATTTTTTTCTCTTCTACAGCAGCAGCCCCAATCTCCTCGAAAACACGCACCCCCTTCCTCCCCAACGCAGTCCCCACACCCACCGCCCTTGCCCCAACCCCCCTCATCCGTCTATACCCCTCCGTATCCGCCACACCCCCAACCCCAATCACTTGTATTCTCCTCAACACCTCATGCTGCGCCAGCATCTGCGTAATGGTATATACATTGCCGAGCGCGAGGGGATGCAGTGGTGTACCCGCTAAACCGCCGATACCCGTGCCATTTGCTGAAGTGAGGGTAGGGTGGAAAGACGGAGTGGTGGTGGTTGCCGAGGAAGAAAATGGTGCGACCAAAAGCGACGAGCCAAGCGTATTCACCGCCGTGATGAAGCTAACGGGACACCATCCTTGCTCGCTGCAATCCAGGAGTGCATCGATTAGGCTCTGGAATTGGTCGTGGTAGGTGTATGGCGGTGTTTTAATGCCTACTGGAGTCACTACTGTAGTTCCTTCTCCTTCTTCGCGAGTCTGTTGTTGATAGAGAGATATTTCCCTCCCCAACCCACGCAGGTACTCGGCCAATTCCTGTCTCGAATACGCAGGCGGCGGTTTCCCAGGGATGTTCGGGCATGAAAGATTGATTTCCATGGCTAGTTGCATGCAGACGGTGCGCTGGCACGTGCGGATTTGGCGGTAGCACTGCACCACTTCTTCCGCGGTGCCCGTCACAGACACGATGATGGGTTTGTGCGTGGTGCGCCCGTCGAGTGGAACCGAAGTGCAGTGAGTATTGCTTATTGTTTGCACGTAGGATAGGTATTCCGAGAGGGGAATGGGCGAGTAGCCGAGCGTGTTGAGACTGCCTGTTGTCGAGGCATCGTCTGATAGGTCTGTGTTTGGGGTTGAGCTCGAGAGGGTGTCTGGGGTGAAGAAGGTGAATTGGTGGATGCTGGAGTCGTGGGGGAATCCTTTGTCTGTGGAGGAAGGGAGTGAGGTGCGGGTTGTTATGGCGCCAGTGTGGGGATTGGTGTAGAGGTCTTGCAATTGGGAGAGCGTGGTGCACCAGGGGTTTGCCGAATTGAGCAGTGGGGGGTCAATGGTTAGAGGGGACATGGCAGGGGCGTGCAAGTGGCCGCTCGCAGACGACATGACCAAGTGTGTGCTTGGTTGAACATGCAGGCTGCTGTGACTTGCGGATGGTGAGGGGTTGCTGCTGCATAAGTGGGGTAGAGGTGGTTACGGGAAAGTTTCCCATTTCGCGATTAGGATGCTTGTCTCTTGCATATCTAGATAGCAGGTCATCTAGTCCGCGATAAGTGAACCGCATCTAGACTTTCCTTATCATGTGTTGGAGATACGAGATGATTGGTCAGGGAATTCGTCGCAAGTAAAACACTACACGAAGTCTAGATATTGACTTCGTAAGCTAGTGCTGAAAAGCTCTACTTTTCTAACCATAGTATTACAAGATGGAGGATAAAAATTGAAACACACAACCAGATCCCATACCCGAAACCAACAGACAAAAAAGTTTCCCAGCCCATGCAAATGCTACGCCGGTCGCAGAGCGTTCAATTTCGTTAGCTTTGTCTTTCCTTGTTGCGCCATACACCATGCTCAAAACACGTAGAAGCAGGAATCGAGAACTGAAGCGTAGGTAGAATAGAATGAGACCCGGATTTCCATCTCCAATTTCCTTTGTCGACACGCCACGTTTTCGTGACCATGCTTAGAAACTGACATAGCCAGTATCCTCGCCTCCAGTGTCGTCCATCCAGCCTGCGCCAACTTCGCCCAGGCCGGGTCCGTGGTGGTGGTTGCGCGCCATGCCTTCGCCTTCACCTCGCTCAACCCACTCTTCGTTGATGTCGTTCCAAATGCGCTGAAAGTACAATCGCAGCGATCGAAGTCCACGGAGATAACCCCTGTCGATGCCATTGGGGTTTTCTGGAGGACAGGGAAGGTCGTCAGGCAAGGGATCTTCTGCCGTCACGCAATTGGCAAAGTCAACAATCTTGAGCTTGATCTCTGAATGCTTTTCCGCTTTCGGAGGGGACGTATTCCCTGGCCCGGAAGATCCAGTAGCAGCTTCTTCGTTTTTCGTTGCAGAGTTACCATTCAATTGTGTGGTTGAACCATCCTTTTCTTTTGAATCACTATCCCCGCGATCATAGAGCATTAGCAAGCTACTTGCGTAGAATCGATACCCGGGCAGGTTTTTGATCATACGTTCCAACTGGCTGATCTTCTCCAAGATGACGGGAATGTGTCTAGTTGCCGCCTTGTACCCGGTTCCGTCCCAGAAAAAACGCTTCAGCGCGTCCTGAAACTCTTTCCCGGCCTTGAGATCGCGACCAAAATACTTGTCTTCGAAGATGTAACTCTGTGTCTTCACATTCCAGATCTGCATGCCACAGACTCGTACGCCAAGTTCTCGGCTGGTCGTCATTTGGCACTTGCGCCGCTGAGAACGTTGCTTCTTCTCGTCTGCTTCGATGCCATACTGGCGCGTGCCCATTTTCAGATCCAAAACACAGGGCCTTGACATACCTGCAGTGAGATCTTCAAGGAGGAGGAAATGCTGCACACGCTCATCAGGTTGCTGTAGGGCACTGTCAGGATTGCTTGGCTCTTCGCTAGGTGGAGAAGTCATGTTACTTGACGCGACAGGGGCTGCTGGTAACATGGTGCCTTCTGGTGGCGCTTCGGAATGGTGTGCTTTGGGAGCTTTGTTGTTGTGTAACGACCGGCCTCTGTCTTCCTGACTGCTAGTTTTCGAGTCTTCGTCCATTTTGAAAACCTCTTCTTCTGCATCGCCACCATAACCGTCCTCTTCGTAGTACTCAAGACCATGGCGCTGTTCAGTATCAATTCCGAGGGGTCTCCTGGTCAAGCCGCTACCGGAGTGGCGACGTCGAGGAAGGATGCCGGGTGGCGGTTTTGATGCTTCATCATTGATTCCAGAGCCTGGTATTGAGCTATGGCTGGGGAAATCAGCGCTTCCGCCCGAAGCATGACGTCGCGCTTCTGCCTTCAACACCTGCTTCCTGGTACATTCTTCTGGAGGCTGCGAATGCAACGTGGCCACATCTGTGCTGTTCCTCCTTATCGTAGGCGCAGAGCCTACCGTGGACTGCGGGGAATCTCCGACGGCGCGTGAGGCCATGACATGGTGACGATGGTGGCGTTGCCGGTGATGTATGGTTGGTGGAGCAAAAACCTGTCGCAGAACTTCCTCTTGCAGCTTTCGGTTGATTGTTGTGACCCCCCAGCTGGTGGTATGCTGCAATGGTGGTCGTGAGGAGCTTCTCGGAGGGTACCCGTAGTCGCTCTGATATCGTCGATGCTGCTGTGAAGAAGAATACGAAGAACTTTTCATCCATGGATCAGGCGTTGTAGAGCGTGGTGGTACTCGAAACAAATTATCCGGGATGATGTGACGATTGTTCTCAAAAATGACTTGAGGGGTAGGCATGATTTGCTGGGAATGACTAACAACTCGAGTCGGTTCCGGCTTGCTTGGATCACTAGGGGCTGTAGAGGCCTGCCTTGAAGGATTTTCTGACTGCGTCGTCGATGTGTTCATGCCAGCATCGTGTTTGGCCTTGTCCTTGTGCGATTTCTTCTTCTTGGGTGCTTTGCGGTAAGTCACGTTCAGGACACCAATATACCTAGACAATACTTCATCAGCAAACAATTCTTAATACGAGAAGAAAGGGCGAAGGCAAATCTTGGCTGAAGTTTCAGCTTCGCTCAATAGTGCAGTTGGGATTTCATACCTTGGCAAGAAATCTAGCAGTTCCGGATGCTGCCTCTCGACTGTTTCGTAAAACTCGTTTTCTCGATTATTTAGCTGCTTGCAGACTGCGCGTCTTGAGAAGCGGTAAACAGTCGAGTGGCCGCCTACTTGGTGGTCGTATGGTTTCAACTCGACAGCACCCAGTGGGGCTGGCGGCTGAGATGGTACTGTCGAAGCAGCCTTGGGTTCTTTCTTGTAGGTTGCTGCAGTGGGCGTCGTGCCTAGATCATCAGTCGCACTGGATTCATAGCCAAGGAGTGATTGAGCCGACTCGGCGAGCGACTCGGGCTCTGATTCACCTGAAAGCGAATCAACAGCCGAGGGTGTCAACGGCTGATCTTTGTCTTTCTTTACGGGAGCTGCCGTGGGGATGTCACCATGTAGGCATTGATTTGTATCTGTGGATTGCAGAGAAATTTCTACCTCTTGTGGGGTCTGCACCTCCTTCTCAGTGGCCCACCCTTTGGGCACTGCACTCTCGTGAATCGAAGCCCTCTTCTCGACAGCATTTACCTCTCTATCTTGATTGTTTGTTTCTTTGGCAGCCTGCTCGCTTGGCTTTATTCGGCGATGGGGGAAGTAGAGCGCCGAGGATATTTGCTCCTTTTCCGATTCTTCCTCCTCCTCCGAACCCGGCGTGCGCTCCCTGCTGCTTCCATCCTTGGGCTGAAAATAGTCCGAAGACTCATGATGATATGGAGTTCCGTAGGTGGGTGCGTGAGCGTGAATCTTCTCAATAGCTGCAGTCGGTAAACTGCGCGACACAGGCGATCGTCTTTTGATGCTAGGAGTGAGGTGGCCAAAACCTCGGATGTCTTCGAGAAGGCGCCTTGGAAGCTGCCGGTTGTCCGAGTCGCCTTGGACATTTGTTTGAGAAGGAGGTGTTATGGCAATGCCTGTGTCTGTGTGTGGACCTGGCTTTGATTCGAAATATGATTCGTTGGGACCGCCTGCAGGAGACTGAACTGCTGACGAGGCAAGCGACGCACGCCGAAGTTGCTCAGTGAGGTTGCTTGTTTCAGCCCCATTGAATCTTGCTGATCCTTCCTCTGACAGGGTTGACAGGGTCCTCTCATTTGGTAAGCGCTCTTTGGCCTTTTCTTTCTTTTTGGGCTCCTCTGAGGGGTCACCATCCTTAAAAACACGGAGATAGTGACTTGCTTTGCGGCTGCGAGCGGTGGTAGGCTGTTCGGTCTTGGCAAGAGTAGCTTCAATCTTCTTTTCCATTTCCTGGTCCATGACTGGGGTGTCGAGAATGACGTTGCCTTTGAACGGCACAGGCTTGCCCTCGCGCCATTCTCTGTTCCTGCGCCTCTCGTCGCTCTCAAGCAGAGCGCCCTGCAATGTGGACTGGAGCTCTGGGCGGTGTGGCGTAACCGGGCGGTGGACGGGGGACTCGACGGGACTCATATAAGGCGGAGGACTGTGATGGGGAGTCTCGAGGCACATGGCGGTGGCCATGGCTGTGCGGGAGTTGAAAGGGGTGTTAAGGAGGGCGTGGTGGTCAATTGAGCTGATGGGCGGGATGGTCGAGTGCTTTCTGCGTATGATGGGAGGGTCTATCAGTCGCCTTTGGGGAGGAGCTGGGGCGGCCATGTCTGACAAGCTGTGCTCGGGAGCATCGTTGGACCAGTCTACTTGGCGAGCGGTGGCGCGGGGAGAGGAGATAGGACTATCCGAGGCCAGGTAGGTGGTAGCGAAGATGCTGTCGCGCTCATCGAGCTGGGGACGGTCAATTGACGACTTCCAAAGAGAGGAGTCTTGAGCGAGAGGGGCGGTACGCGAGCGGCCCGTCTGGGAGAGGCTCTTCGGGACCAAGGCATGGTCTTGACTGGCGGTGGACCTCACCGAGGCGGGGGGTGAGGCATTTCCTTGGAGGTCCGGCTGGGGTGACATGGGCTCGACATTGATTCGACCGTGTGAAAGGCACCTCGTGGCGGGATGTGTGGCAGATATTGCCGGGCGGGCGCTGGACGGGTTGGCCAGGATGCGGACAGTCGTCGGGCGCGGCGGAGAGGCAGCGGACAGCCAACAGGGGCAGCAGGTCTTGGGGCGACCTAGCGCAAGAGAGCGCACAGCAACGGGCTCTGGCAGCAGGTGGAGGGGCGGCGTTGGGCGATGGCTTGCAGCAGGCGGATCCGGGGCGTGGGCGAGTGAGAGCAGACGACGGTCCACGTTCCAAATGTCGGTGGTTTGGCGTCTGAGTCCAGAGTGGCGCGAAGACGAATCGCAAGCGAGCGGCCCAATGACGTCTGCCTTGGCGCGTCCCCGGCGCGCGTCCACCGCTGCGAGATGAGCGTGCGTGCGAAAGGGACATGGCCTTCATTCACCATGCAGACAAAGCCATTGCCATGTCCACCCGGGCGGGCGCATATCCTCTTTGCAGCCGCGATTGTTATCAATGCCATGCCATGCCATGCCATGCCATGTACCGCTTTTTGTTTTGTTTTGTTTCGTTTTGTTGTTTTGCTGGCCGTAGCCGGTGTCGCTGCACATGGCCATCTACACGGCATGGGTATCCGTGTTGGCGATAACCACCATGGAGCGCCCGCGTGCCCGTGCGCCCCATTCCTGCCCAGTCCTGCCCGGATCCCATCGGCTGATTGACGGCAAACATCACAACATCAACATCAACAACAACAACACGCACATACACACATACACATGCTTTCACCATAGGCCCTCGCGCCTCGCGCCTCTGCCACGGCCCCCGCTGGCAAACTGCATCCTCGTATCTCTGCCCGACTGCCTTCTTCGTCTCGTCATCTGCTATCTGCGCACCACCACCACCGTCCTTTCCCTTGCAGCAACTATGCATGGTCCCCTTCCCGCTCCCCCTTCGCAACCAATCACTCCGGAACGTGGCCTCTCACCGCCTACTTCATCTTGCCCTGCCTGCCTCCGTACTCTACCATTGCAATTACGTTGCCCTTCACCCGTCCTCTATCCCTCTTACAAACGGCGCTGCATAGTGCCGGCCAAAGTCGTCGACCGACGCATCAAGGTGCAAGCCGGAAAACTCTCTCTCCCTCGCCGAACACCTCGATCGCTCCCCCACAGACTTTTGCGACCCCTGTGAAGCCTTCTCCGACACAAAGCTCCAGAATGATGTCGTCGTGTTCTTGTCCTTGAGGGGGATCCGCCCCGCCGATGGGGTGGGGCTGTTGTTCGTCACGTCGCCCTGCTTTAGTGCTCCAACGTCACTTCGTCCCATGGAAAACCTTGAGTTGCTTCGCTGGCTTTCCTCCGTCTTCTTCTTCGCCGTGCTAAACGTAAAGGGCGACGCTGCCCCAAAGAGATCCTGTGTGCTGATCGGCGGTCCACGAAACACACTTTCATTTGCCATTGCCGAGTTTCGCTCGACCGTCATGGCTATACGTGGTGTCATCGCTGGACTTGGCGCATCCAATGTCCGACGACATGTGTTTAGCGATACTGGTGACTCTGCTCGAATGGTGGCGGGCGACAATGTGGGGAATGTGCTTTGCTGAAACTCGAGCTGAGCTCGTACCATGGCAGCTTGTGTGCACCATTCCGAACCTCGACCTAAATCGCTTTCTTGTAGTTGTTCGGCCTGGTCTGGTGAATCCTTGGTCTCGGCTGTTTGTGGAGCCATTGTACTCTCCCCCTGTGCCTCCTCCTCCTCCCCCTCCTCTTCTTCTTCTTCTTCCTGCTCTTCCTCTGCCTCTGGAGCATTTTCGACAGCCCGTGCTTCTTCGTGACGTTTCTTTGCAATGGGTGAATCTTTCTCCGGCGATGAATCGAAATTGATTGCTCTTGGCTTCGGTCTGTTGGGTTTGGTGCCGACAGGGTCTGCCTGAGCTCTCTTATGTGTAGATGTAGGCGACGGAACAGAGATGGGAGAGGCAACGTCGTCCTGTTCTGTGAATTTGGGAGTCTTGCGTGAAATCCTCCGCTTTGATTGCTGTGATGATACCGCCGAGATACCAGTGTTAGACATGGAGTCGACGAGTCGCTCTGCGGAGCGTTGTATATCTTCTCTTGAGACTGTGAGTTGGCTGCCCATTGACGACGTGACTATTGGGATGGTTCGCTGCGAACGTTGTGCTTGCTCGGTGCTGTATGGCGTGTAGACAGTCTGCGCCGTGTAATCCCTCCCACTCCTTGTGTTTTCACAATCCACAGCGGGCGATGAAATGTCCATAGAGGCGGAGGCACTCGACTTCCAGTACCCAGGCAACGTTTCTTTTGGCGGCGACTTCGACACGCGCACTGTTTCTTTTGAAAGACTAATGCGCAGCTCCGCCACTGCTTCAGTCTGCGAAAACATATGGCGCGTCCGAGACCGTGTCGGTGATGAATCGCATCGTTCGTTTGTGGCTTTGCGCATATCGACACGAGCTGAGTCAGGGCGGCGCAACGAGAAAGGATTCGTCGAGGGAGTTTGGCGGCGTATGCATGTTCCAGCATCTACGCTAAAAGAGTCTGTAGTAGTGGTGGCGCGAATGTCGTCTTCATCTGCTAATGGAGCAGTCGAGGGTGCAACCTGGACGTGACCAAGGCTATCGTCGGGCTCCTGGGCACTTAGGTGGATGTCTCGGGTAGCCCTCGAGGTTTCCGGTGAAGCTATCAAGGCTATCGAGGGCGCCGGACTTTGCGCTATAGCCTGTGGCCTACTGCCTCGTTTCCGTCTCGTGTTGCCCGCCTGTGCTGTCTTGCGCTTCTCTTTTGTCGGTTTCGTCCATGGGTTCTTCCAGTTGTCGGGGTCAAATGGCCCTCTTAGCCCCGCGGTGAGGATGACAGGCGGCCTGCCTCGTAGGTATTGGGCAGCAATTGCCTCGACCCGTCGTCGCTTCGCGGCCCGTTGCTCGGGGTCATGGTGCTCGAGGGGCAATTCTTCGATGGCGTCCTGAGGGGGGAGGTAGAAATCGTCAGTAGTCAGCGCCTGTCTCAGATGGGGGTGCAGGCTGGGGGGCATGGTGTCGGAATATAGGCTGGCAGCGGTGGAGGATTAGGTGGGGCTAAGCAAAAGGGCATGTCCGGGGCCGGGCAGGATGAGCGTTGCAACGGCGTGGCGGCTGCTGCTCGTCTAAACTCGTCTATGCCCGTTCATCATCAGTTCTTGGTCGTCCATGCTTTGGCAGCGTCTGCGTCGGGAGCGGGAGCATCTCCTGTTGCTCAGGCAACGGCCCTGTTAGCGGCTTGCGGGGGGTCTGACAAGTCCATGCTTCTCTCCAGATAGCGTCGATCCTGGCACATACATTCAATCGATAACAAGACGACTCGCCGATTGACGCGTTGTTCGTCATTCTCCCTCGCACCGTTGCGACAATCCACGACACGCGCACAATGCCGTGCGCGCCAACATAGCAGCCTTTTTTTGACGCGTAGCCGCCCGCCAACAGCTTTCTTCACCGCATCTTCGGCGCGCGCTGCCCGACTGCGACTCGACACCCCGGCCACCACCACCATCTCCATTCCCACTCGTCACAACACCACGGCCAACCGCCCGCTCGCCTACCAACCATGGCCAACAACACCACGCAGCCCTGGCTCGAGGATCTCTCTGAAGAATGGGTTCCCCAAGAGTCACCGCGCTCAGTTGCGCCCACCCCACAGAGCCCACGCAGCCCGCCACCACCACCAAATCCACAGAGCGCACCAAAATCAAAGAGCCGCCTGCCCCGTCCGCGACAGTCGCCAGCCCCCTTTTCCGACGTGCAGGTGCGCAGCATTGCCAAAGAACTGCGTCCGCCCAAGCAAAGGAGCATGCTCGATGGCCGCAGTCCGAGCAACACCAATGCCCCGCCCGCCCCGTCATCGCCCGACGCGCACGCGCGCGACGCCTCGTTTTCCTCGTTTTCAATGTCCCAGAACTCGGAAATGCAAAACGGCACAGTCGCACACAACACAGTCGCGCGGTCACCAGTCAAGGAGCAGTCATCCCAAGATACACCGGAGTGGAGGCGGAGACTTGTCAATGGTGAGGTCGGCTACGGAAACCAGACCGACCTCTTCGGCCCCACTGGCCTGGAAAACATCTTTCAAAAGCCAACCCCTGGCGCTTCTGACGACTCGGCACTCCCAAAACGGCGGCTTGGATTGCTCAAGGGTCTTGCTGCCGTACCCTCGAGTCCACCACCATGGCCGGCTGTGCAACAGAGCGATGGACCACAGAAGCAAGGGCAAAAACAGGGAGAAAAACAAGCGCGGGAAGCAGAAAAGGATCCCCAGATGCATGCAAATCACGCAAACGACTGTGCACACGATGACACAACCCAAGAGCACGATGAATCGAGTTGCACCCAAGGATTGGCGCCGCCGCACGAGACCATGCGGACTGTAAGCGGGCAGATTGAGTTCGAGAACGAGAACTTCAGCCCCGTATACCTGACCATGACCGCCAACATGAATATCGGCTTGCCCGTTCAACAACCACAGAGCTTTAGAGGATCCGAGCTTGCCAATCGGTTGCGTCAGATCGGATCGCCCCCCTCAAACCACTACCAACCTCGCCAAGAGGAGAGTGCACTGAGCTTAACACGTGGAGATTCATCGTTCGCTAGGCTTCAGGACGAGTCTCTCCCAGAGGGCCTTCCCGTTGGCACACCAGACATGGCAGACGTTGGCCGCCACGTAGAGCTTCGAAGAGGTGGGTACTCGAGAGAGGGATCTTTTCACCGAAGACCACTGAGTCCATCGCCAGAAAGAAAAGCTGCAGCCAGACTGAACACAGACCTAAAGCAAACGCCCCAAAGCGGACTTGTTGACCCTTCCACGCCTCTTCAACGACTGGAAAACTTCCTAAGTCCTGATCGAGCCAAGAACTCTGGGAGCCCCCTAAAGTTATTCGATGCACACGACACTTTTACCAGCAATCGCATCCAAAGACGCTTGAGCCAACTCGAGTACAAGCCTGAAAAAGGTACATCTAGTGTCAAAGAGAACCCATCGGATTCTGCCAAACTGGCGCCGAGGCAATCAAGATTGCCATCCGTTGAGGAGAAATCTATGCAGAACATTGCCCAGGATTTGACTACGAACAATCGCCAACCATCAACCAAAAGAATCACATCTTTTGGTCAAAGTCAACTCAACAAGTATCAGTTTTCTGGCGACTTCTCTGTTATTTCATCGGATGGAGATGACTGGAGTGCTCATGATGACAGCGCACCCGAAGGATCTCCCTCAATCGACATCGCACCCCCTGGAAGCCGGCCGCCGTTCAAGTTCCATCTGGATGAATCGCCCGTCCCACGTCAGCCCTCGAGGAGTAAAAGAAACGTATCGAATTATTCCCCAACCTCAATGCGGAATGCCAGCCGGCCGAAGTTCGTGCCACATCGGAAGGCCTCGACAGCAAAGGCCGAAGAGGACTCAGAAATCGCCCATGAGTATGCTGAAGGCAAAAGAGGCCCAACATCGCCATTCAAGAACCCAACTCCTAAACGTAGAAGGACTATCTGCTCGGTTGATGACGAAGAAAACAACGACGATGTTTTTAGCGATGGAGGAGGGAGCACAGTGCGACGTCCGAAGGCATCAGCTCAGCCTACTCTCGACCAGAACCAGAGGGATCTTCTTAGCGTGTTCTCAAACAAAAACGCCAACTCGGAAACGCTAGCTAAGAGACATATCTTAAGGCCCCGTAACCCTACCCCGAGTCAGCGGAGACGAGAGGAGATTCAGGCAGAAATCATGGAAGCTACGGAAGCCTTCATCATGTCATCACCCAAACTCAACACCATCCGCGAACAGCTGGAGCCTTCCAACGTGTCCGACGCTGATTTGGACAATGCTCGTGCGAAGGCGGTCGCCAACGAGATTGCCGCTTTTAGTATGAAGAGGCAGCATGGCGTGCGAGACAAGAACCGCAAGCGGTCCGTCACTACACAAGACTTCCTGGACGAGGCCCTAAAGATCATGGACTTTATCCGTACAAAAGGACGACCTACCAGCGGTTTGGGGAGTCTCGAGGAGACGGAAGCTGAATCCCAGTTGGTTGGGGATGACAACGAAGATGTTTCGAGTTTGCCGACAATCAAAAGGCCTGCAAGCAGAGAGGACCGGCCACCAGCTTGGAAGGAACCGAACAAGCAAGACATGGATCCGAGCATTCTTAACCATTTGCGCAGGTATCAGGAGAGGGACGACGATAGCTTCCTGAATTCATCGGTAAACTCAATAGGCTTCTCTCGTCTGGACGGGCTAGTCGCAAACGTAGAAGAAGGTGCAATGGGCAAGCAGGACAAGGTTGGGATGACAGAGGTCGCAAACCAACACTACGACAGGGGCGACGATGACCACCACCCCAGCTCCCGGCCTCAGACTGCACGCACTCAGTTATCAACAGGTTCATCGATTGGACACACTGTCCTCACAAACGCATCTAGGCGTTCGGAACACGTCGCTAATCTGGCACCCGAGGCAATAGCGCATCTCATTCCCCAGGAGGTAGCTGGCATGAGTTTTGACCGGGATAAAAATATGTGGGTTCGCCAGAAGAGTCCAACGAGGGAGCGTCGTGTTGAGCAGGCAACACCAAGCCCCTTAAATGAGAGCGAAGACGATCCATTTGGCAACATCCCAGATCTGACGGTGGAGGACACACATGCGCAAGGCACTAGAGCGGACTCACCGGTTCGTCTGCAGCCCACAGCAGAAACCCTCGTGGAAGATACGGAGAAGCCCACAGAAGCAGAAGAAGAAGCACGTCCAACGACGCGCGAAGGAAACGGCGTTGCATATACAGAAACGAGCTCAGCGCCTTCAAAGGGTTCCAACTTTGGATCAAGCTATCCTAAAACTGAGACACGGGCCACGTCTTGGAGTACACAAACCGCACGACAACATGGCACCCAGAAGAGCTCCCGTACCCAAACTACTTATGCGATTCCAGAGTCTGAAGAAGACGATATCGAACACGAGATCAAGTATTTCGAGGGGCGAGGTCCCGTACGCCAGGGTGTACAACGCCCACGAGTAAGGGACATCACCATCTCGATTGCCGAACGGGAGGCGCCTAGTCCAGAGCGTCGATCTGAAGAGACACCGCAAAAGCCCCGGCAAAACCAGTGGGGACCATCAAGTGCGCAGAAAAAGTCAGAAAAAAAGCAGTCAGCCTGGGAGCAGTCCAATCAAAATAGGGCTCTGTCCCAGGGGCGGCCTGGTCGATTACCAATGTTCAACGGTGACGGTGATCTTTCACTATTGGACGATGTCCGAGCCAGAAACTATCGCATGCACTTGTCGATGAATGTGGCAGGGCCTCCATTCAGAGACCACGGACGGGATGCATTGGTCGCTGCAGGATCATCACCTATTAAGGGGGACGTGACGTTTATGCTAAGCGATTTACCTGAGTTCACTCTGAACCAGGTTGATGAGTTTGACCTCCCAGACCGAGTGGTTGTGAAGCATGATGGTAGCCGGTTCACTAAAGCTTTGGAAGATCGCTATGCACAAGGAACAGCCGAACTTGTAAAGGCCCTTCAAGACGTTGAGCCAGATGAACCGTACTGGGAGGATCTTCGCAATGTCAATCTCCGGAAGAAGGACCTTACCAACTTGCATCGCCTTGACGAACTGTGCTACCAGCTTGAGGAGCTTGATGTCTCAAACAACAAGATCAGTCAAGTGGAAGGCATACCTTACTCTATGCGACGGTTGCAAGTACAGAACAATTGCTTGACTGGACTGACTTCCTGGACCAATCTCGTCAATTTGCAGCATCTCGACATATCTGACAATGAGGTTGATGCGCTAGACGGGCTTGCTGGGTTGGTGCATCTGCGAACACTCAAAGTTGACAACAACAAGATCAAGTCTCTCAATGGCATTATTCATCTCGACGGCCTAATGGAACTGAGTGCTGGCGGTAATGAGATAGACACGATTGACTTCGCCAAGACAAATTTGTGAGTACATCAGCACTTGTATGTCAAACACCATATCCTAACCAGTGCACTAGGAAATCTCTTACAGACCTTGACCTGCGCAAGAATCGAATGCTCGAAGTCCGCAATCTGCATTGCCTACCGCAGCTTCAGCATCTCAACTTAGGTATGCATATACTCTGGCTCATGCACCCTTTCACAGGCTGATATCCAGCAGATGACAACGAGATTGAAGAATTTCCTCTTGTCGACACACCAGTGAAGCCCTGCAAAGCACTTCGCTCAATCCGTCTTTGCAGAAACAGGACCACGCTTCTCGATGTTGATCACTATTTCCCAAGGCTTGAGTCGCTGTACATCGACGGCAACTCTTTGACACAGGTCTTGGGATTGGAACACCTTCGAAACCTCCGGACTTTCTCAGCTCGTGAACAGATACTCGACTCGGAAGCAGACATGGAGATATGTGCCAATAATCTCGTCAAGAATTCGGAAGTGCGCAATCTCTATCTCTCCCTCAATCCTACATATGGCTTGCAGATTTCACAGCACTTGTTGAGCCTTCAACGATTGGAATTGGCCTCTATGGGCCTCAAACAACTACCCGACAACTTTGGTCAGCTTACACCAAACATCAGGTCCATTAACCTGAACTTTAACTCCATTACGGACCTACGTCCACTCCTCAACATCAAGCGGCTGAGTGAGCTTTTCTTGGCGAGCAACAAGCTCGAACGCCTTCGTGCAAACGCGCTGGTTCTGGGCAAGCTAAGCACACTTTCGAAACTAGACTGGCGAGACAACCCGCTTACTCTGCGATTCTACGCGCCATCATCCGAAAATCGGATCATGTCCCTTCGACGGAAACCCTCCGAGGAGCAACTCAAGAACCGCTTCCTTCTTCCAAATGGAGAAGTAGAGGCTGATGTTCAACATCTTTTGCGACTCGATTATGAGACGCGGATTAGGCGGCGCGTTACGGAGATGATGCTGGCTAATCTTTGCAAAAACCTGAAAGAGCTGGATGGCCTACCATTCGACAAGGCACGTGTGCTCGTCAAGGACGACGTGTGGGAACGTTTATTGTTTCTTGGCGTCATACAGCGCAAGCGCGCGGACACAGCTGTCGACGACAGCGAATGATAGACTGGTGACTTGGGAATAAGGACAGAGGAATGTTTCAGACGACCGGCGCGTCACATTCCCAACAATGCTTCTTGTTGGCTTGGAGTTTTGGATGGGACTGCTCTTCTTACGCATTGCAAGTCAAATTAGGTTTCAGTGGGTTTTGCATAGCATTTGGTACTTGAGCATCTTGTAGGCGTAGTATTCATTGGCGTCTTTTTAAGCGCGAGCTTTATCTGCTCGACTGGGAAAGACCCTTTCTAATGACTTCACGAATTGTATTAGTAGTAATCGGACTCGATGTGTTGTTGCAATTGCAATCTTATCAATCTATCTCGAAAGTTTGTCTTCGAGACTGCAAATGTAAGGCCGACGTGTGATCAGCCGCCCCGCGTTCCACTAAAACAGCTGCACTGAGGCCCGTGCATCGAATCGCCCTAGAACCCGTGACACGCAATCATAAACTCAAATGTTCGCCCTATTGAGATGATCATCATCTACCACACATCCGACAATGGCCAGCCCATCTGACAAGGAGAGGATCGTGCAGCTGGCGGAAAAGGCTCACGAGAGCATCAAAGCTGGCGAGTTGGCTGTGGCAGCTCGATACCTACGTGAAGCTGGCACTATTGCACCTGAAGACAACCGGATCAAAGAAGCATGGGTTGCGTTGAAGGAGGAAGAAGGTAAGAGCGAGTTCTTGGGTATTTGCAGGGAATGGGTAAAGAGCAAGGATGCACGTGATGGAGAAAGAGCACTGAAGGCCATGAGATCGCATGGTTTGAAGGAGGAAGAGGCGGCACAGGCAATGGACATTCTCTTCGACTATAAGGGTGAAGACGACACCCTCGATCAAGTCTCGGGTGAACTTTTACAGAACGTTGGGGCTCAGAAGTGGCTTGTTAATATGGTTCGGGAAAAGCCAACGCGGATGTACTATGAGATGTTCGAACGGGGCAACGACTCAATCGATGGCTTGCTAAAAGTCTTGCTGAACCGAGCCGTCTGGCCCGATGACGAGTCGTTCAAGACGGGTCACAGAGATATCTTCATGCTCAGTTTGGCAATGATGATGGAGGAGGCCCTTGAGCACCCGGAACGCGCCATGAAGGGCATCGCACAACTGCTCGCTCATTACGCGGAGCATCTCAAGGGAATCATTGACGCAGACAGCTTCGATGTTATATTGGCATCGCTCGATATCCGACTGCCAGCCACACTACGCAGTCAGGCTACACTTGCGAGTATCAAGCTGTTTGAGCTTGCTCCGGACACTGCTGGAGAACTCATCTCAAGATTCGTCACCGCCAGGATAAAGAAGGGGGAGGCACATGACCTAGTCATTGCTTTCTCTGCGGCTGCAGCCATCTTCCCGGTCGCTGTCACAGCCGCTGCGGCCCTTTTCCTCACAGATGGCTTTGTCAGCACACTTGCATCGAGAGTACAGAGCAAGAAGTCGCATAACCTGGAGCAAGCGACCCTCGAACTGATCAGTGCTGCATGCGTAGATAAGAACTGCCGAGAGGCAATCAACAAGCACTGCAGGGAGTGGCTAGAAGACATGGTTGCCGAGTGCCCGAACAAGAGGCGGGCTAACCTGGCTGCACTCATTCTTGTGAAACTGGGCGAGGAACAGCCATCCGAGGAAGGTCCGCGGATCGTCAGAGCCGAGAAAGTGGATCAAGAGGACTTGATCGCAAGCTTCAAGTCAATGGTCATAGGAGGCGACACGGCGTCCAAGCAAGACTCGGTCGAGGGCCTCGCATACGCTTCGCTTCAGCCCAAGGTCAGGGAAGATTTATCCAAGTCTCCAAAGTTTCTCAAACGCCTTATCGAGGCCATGAGTGACCCTTCGTCACCAAAGAATATTATTTTCGGCGGCCTTACGATCTTCAACAATATCACACAATACCAGCCTTTACAGTCTGAAGAAGAAAAGCGCATGGCACAGCTCAAGGCCTACGCAAATGTACAGAAGCCAGTTGCTCCTGATGTTCTTCTAAACGATGAAGATGTAGCCATACGCTGCAAGCGCGTCCTTGATGCAGGCGTTGTACCACTTCTAGTACAAGTCTGCAAAAACGGGTCCGCCTCCGTCCTCACACAAAGCAGCCTCATTCTCCTCAGTCTATGCAAAGACACTAAGAACCGAGGCCCAATGGCCCAGCAAGGCGCCGTCAAGCTCCTCATCCAAATCTGGGAGCACATCACTGCCACAAACGAGTCTTCCACAACCGGCACCACACCCTTCCCGCCCGCTGCCCTCGCCACAACAGCACAAGCCCTGTCCCGCCTGCTCATCAGCATAAACCCCTCCCACGTCTTCAACGCCGCCCTCCCCAGCACCTCCGCCATCCGCCCCCTCATCAGCCAACTCACCCGCACAGAATCCACAACCTGGCAACTCCACGCCTTCGAAGCCCTCCTCGCCCTCACCAACCTCGCTTCCCTCGACCGAAACACTCAAGACCACATCATCCGCCAGTCCTTCGACACCGTCGTCGACGACCTGCTTCTCAGCCCGAACACCCTCGTGCGCCGCGCAAGCACGGAACTCGTGTGCAATCTCATGGCCTCCCCCGTTTGCATCAGCAACTTCGCAGATGCCTCGCCCCGCGCTAAACACCGCTTGCATCTCTTACTCGCCATGACGGACGTCGAAGATCCAGCCACACGGTCTGCGGCTGGCGGCGCACTGGCTATGCTACTCTCTGTCGATCTTGCCGTCGAAGAGTTCTTGAAGCAGGATAAGAGTGTGGAGTGGTTGGTAGGCTTGTGCCAGGATGAAGACGAGGGGATTAGGTATCGCGGTGTTGTTTGTCTGAGGAGTGTGGTGGATGTTGAGCAGGGAAAGGAGAAGTGCAAGGGTAAGGGCGTTGTTGAGGCGCTCAAGGTTGTGCTGAAGGAGAGTCGGAGTCAGGAGGTTCTGAGTGTGGGGGTTGAGACGTTGAAGATTTTGCTGGGGCAGTGATGGGGAGGAGTTGATTCTACAGAGTTTGAAGTGGAATCAGTAAGGATATCGGAACGGGAGATTTGATTCGTGTTATGAGGTAGACTTTAGATTGAGATGAGTTATGATTCATGCTTTGTTCTCATTTGTCTTCAAACATGATGAACAGGCTATGCATGGTATTGTTTCTCCAACTTTGCTCCATACAGACGCCATAGTCGCCTGATCTTCACCGTGCAACAGCTTCGGTCTTGGGACGATACGGATATCAGGCCCGAGATTCTATTTGAATAGCTACGGCATGATTGGTCTCTAGCACATCTAAAGGCAGAAGTGGGGAGCAGACACTGATAAGCAGCGGGCTTATCTTCGGAACGGTTCCGACATCAACCCCTCACGACTGATATGCATAATTGCGTCGAGTCAAGGGAGTGACTGCAGTGTGCCTGGAAGCTATTTCGGCTGCCAATAAATTACTTGTGATGCTTCTGGGGTTGCTCTCCTTCCGCTGCTTCGTTGGAAAAATCTGTACAATAGGATTGCAAGATGAATCACTTGCCTGATCTACTACCGCGTGTGAGGACCATTGCTTCAGACCATGTAGTCTCAATCGCTGTTGTTACGGTCGCATTGTTCGTTGTGTACAAAGTAAGTATCTCCAGAGCATGTGTAGGCAGTTATAGCTCATACCATTAGCTACTCACTCGTACCGATATCTCCTATATCCAAGGCATACCTGAGATTCCGGGCGCTCTCCCCATCACAGGTCACTTGACTCAACTGGGGGATGATCATGCAACTGTGTGCGAGAAATGGTGGCGCCAATACGGCTTCTCAGTATTCCAGATCCGGCTCGGAAACACGCGCGCCGTGGTGGTTAATTCCTTCGAAGACTGCAAGAAGATCCTCATGTCAAACCCCCAGGGGCTGATCGATCGGCCGAAGCTGTATACTTTCCACGGCCTCATCTCCTCGACTCAGGGCTTCACGATTGGCAGTTCCCCGTGGGATGAAAGTTGTCGCAACAAGCGGAAAGCAGCGTCGACAACGCTTAGCAAAAGCATGATGAAGAATTACGCCAACATGTTTGACCTCGAGTCCTACTGTATCGCACGAGATCTGCAGAGAGATAGTAAGAGCGGAGAGGTGGAAGTCAGTATCAGACCGTATATCCAGCGCTACGCACTGAACACGACACTCACGCTCTGCTATGGCATCCGCATGGACGCCGTCTACGACGATTTGCTCCGCGAGATACTCGAAGTCGGCTCTGCAATTTCGCTGCTGCGATCCGCATCAGAGAACTATCAAGACTACGTCCCTGCTCTGCGCTATTTGCCGAACAACGAGAAGAACAAGCGTTCGAAAGAGCTGAGGGAGAGACGCGACAAGTATCTCAACTTGCTACTGGATAAAGTGCGAGACATGATTAAGCAGGGAACTGAAAAGCCGTGCATCAGCGCCGCTATCCTGAAAGACGAGGAAACGCGACTCACAGGCGTCGAAGTCAGCTCTATATGTCTGTCTCTTGTATCTGGTGGGTTCGAAACCATACCGGGTACACTGGTATCTTGCATTGGATCCTTGTGTACAAGCGAGGGCCAGGTATTCCAAGACCGCGCGTACCAGGAAATCCGGAAGATTTATCCGCAAGACGAAGACTTGAAAAAGGCGTGGGCGAGTGACTTTGGGGAGGAGAGTATTCCGTATTTGAGTGCGATAGTGAAGGAGGCGGGGAGGTACTACACGGTCAGCAATATGAGTCTGCCGCGGAAAACTATGAGTGATATGCGCTGGGGTGAGGCAGTGATACCGAAAGGTACAATGGTGTTGATTAATGCCCAGGCTGGGAATCATGGTGAGTAGCCAACCATCTGAACTTGGGTTCCGTAAGATCTAACTGTGATAGACACTGATTACTGGGGCCCTGACGCTGCAACCTTCAATCCTGAGCGATGGCTTACACCACCCATCGACTCGGCATCCCTTTATACGGCAAATCCTGTTTCCAATCCAGCACATCTGTCGTTTGGGGCGGGCTCTCGTTCTTGCCCTGGAGCCCTCATCGCTAGCAAGCTCATTTACGCGGCACTCTTCCGTTTGCTCAGTCTGTACAGGATCGAAGCTAGTGCAACGCATCCGCCGAATACGGATTATGTCGACTACAACGCGATCAAAAGCGCGTTGGTGGCAATACCCCGCGACTTTTCAGTGAAACTGAGTCCCAGGTGCGGGGCGGGTGTGTTGGAGACCGTGCTGAAGGAGGGTGAAAGGAGGACTGAGGGATTTTACAAGGTGTGAGTGAAAGTGAAGGTTAGAATTAGTCAGATTGTCAACAGTGAAAGATTCTCACGTCGGGATATAAACACTCGGTCGCGCCTGCTCAAACTCCTTTGACCCGCACAAGCAGTCGCAGCCACGCTTTCTCACCCAGCTTGACGATTGCAGTCGAATTCCCACTCGTCAACCGCAAACATGAAACTTCGAATGATTCTTATCTGCACTATCTTGTTCATGGTGACTGCCTTTGGTCAGTCCATCAACAATGAGCAGGTAGTGTCCGTCTCCAACGCCAGCCTCGAAGGCACACTTCTCGATAGCTCAGTTATTCAGGATGCGCTGCCTGTCAAATCGTCTGCTGCTAGATCTGGACCTTTCAATCCTGCTTTGGGCGAGGACTATGACCCCGAAGTATTCGCCAGCAACCAGCTATGGGAGGAACGTGTCACCATAGGTAGTTACATGTTTTGTCTCATGATGGCATCAGATACAACGGCTGGAATGCTCATGGAAGATGACCGAGAGCCGCCTTCAGCTTTTAGCGCATGGGCGATGCACGACATAAATCGTAAGCTCATTTCCCTTTCCATCACGCAAGAATGAACTTGAGAAACTGATTCTTTTGATGCTATAGACATCTTGGGGTTGTGGGGCTGGTTTAACACCCCAACGGCCCAAGGCAGGGAATGCGACTTCAGGTCGGTAGGATTACAATATGCTTTTGAAGGGCTTGGCCTCAATTATGAGCCGAAGTACGATGACGGATTTCAACCTGCCAACGGAGAGAATGTCTGCTTTTCCATTCTACATTGGAACCGCCGCAGGGCTCTGCCTGACAATCCGCGTCAACAACCGTTGTCTATCAGGGAGCAGCTGTACAGGACCCCGCGAACAGTTTTGGCGGTACGTATATTTATGTCTGCGGTGGTTATGCTAAAAGATGCAAAGAACCGCTGTTATGGAGCAGTCACAAATGGTCGTTCAGAACACTAGCTAACACATGATAGTTACAAACAGGCGCAACCTATGAATTTGCTGTTAATATAAGGGATGGCGCAATCGTCGCAAGAACAACAATGAGCCCAAGTGCTGCCGTGCGACACCCGTTTAGTTGGGGTCGGGAAGCGCGGCCTCAGGAACTCCCTGAACTGCAACATGTTACCGACATTTACTGGGGATTCTGGAAAATGCATAACCCCAATGTCAGAAACTTTCGTGTCTATGGCGTCCAGGATGTCATAGAAGACCACACTGTCCTCCTCGTGGCTCGCGCGCTGCGAAACAGGCGCAAATTTGCTTTGGAGATTTGGCCGGGCGTCATGTTTGAGAAAGGTAGCGAAGAGTTCATGGCATTGATCGGTATGTATTGCATTTCCTACTTGAGTCCTGATCTTCAGTATAGCCCCGAAGCGATGCTTACTGAGTTACTCTAGGCTCTCCTATTGGCAAAACTATTGCCGGCTTTCTCATCACCCACAAACCTTGGCTCGGCCTGAAATATATCACGCACGTCATAGTTGTTTGTGACGGAAACGATCAAGACCGTTGCACAAGAGGTATGGGTAAGATGCACTTATTCTTCACCATCGATGATGTGCATTTCGAGAATGAACAAGGCAGTGATCAGAGCGATGGGAACGGAGAGACGGGCCAGGTTGAAAGCCATGTCTTCCAAGTGAGGGATGACGGGAAGCACGTTATCCGGGAGCACAAGGTCACGGCGAATCTCTAGGATGATGTAAACACGTGGGATTCCAGGGTGTGATGGATGTGTGATTTCGGGATATAGCAAACACCTTCGGACTCCAGCGGAACTGCTACTCATCGCATTACCGACCGCCATTCCTCGGCGGTATAGCGTAATTAATATATCTATGCTGCTTCAATCTCCCGCACGCGCGCCATAATTCTGGTCTTCCACTTTGCGTAATCGTCCTGCTGTCGTTCGCCGAGGTAGTCAGTTGCATCTTGCATCATAGTGCCTAGGCCAATATAATCGCTTCCAGATCTTAGGCCTAGGCCCTTTGCTTTGACAGTTGTATTGCCGGTCATTTCAACACCTTCCATCTCGTCTTCATTGTCTAGAGGCTTTACACTATCGAACCACTGCATCTGTAGCCAGCCTTCCTCCTTGGCCATGGCCATTGTCTGCTCTATTGCAGGTGCCAGCTCATCTTGTGTGATGTTCTGTGCAGATGGGGTTTTCAAGACGGCATCCGTTGCCTTGGCTAGCCATTCGCTGTATGTATCTGGCGAGACATCGACATCCTTCATTCTCGAGAAAACAAGCAGGAATACAACTACTAAAAGGCTACAAAGCCGCGTATCACTGACATCAGCAAAAGACTGTGTAGTAGATGTTGGTCGTCGTGGTCGCTTGCTGGGCGTCTCAGTGGCTGCAGCAGCCATGCGGGCTAGGAGAGGGTAAATGGACTCTACACCGGTGTACACATGAGGTATCATTGCCGGATATTCGAACACCTTTGCGAGAGCCCGGATAGCGGGCATGACCCACTCAGGGGGCTCAGCATCGCTTTCACGGCCTCGCTTTGTGCTGTGTGGTGTCTTTCTGGCGCTCAAGGGCGTCTTTGGCGTGTTACGTGTGGATGTGGGGGCTGGAGCAGACGATTTACGCGGTGTTTGCGGCTCTGCGGCGGCAAAAGAGTCTGGAAGAGCACTACTTAGGTAGTTATATAGCTTCTTATATATGCGAGGGGGGCAGGGCGGTCGTGATGTGATTGAAGGAAGGTTGAGACGCTTCTTAAGCCTGTAGCTGTCAGTATTGGGCTCTATGTAACAATGGAGGCTAGAATACCTTTCGCAAGCCAATTGCGCACATGCGTATGGTCGTGCGATTTCTTCATCCGACTTCATAGACGTCGCGACTGTTCGAGAGCGTGTAAGAAGCGACAACGCCAAATCAATCAACTCAGGGGGCAGAGGGCCGTTCAATGTAGGGACTAAGCCCGTGAGGGCCTGCTCGATACTCGCTCGGCTCATAATGTGAGATGTTGAGGATATTCGTCTTTCCCAAAGAACAATGCTGTCATGCGAATGCAGACGCGTTACGTCTACGTACTTGCGCGGTGTCACGTGGACGCTAGACTGTTCTTAGTTCATCAAGCACACTTCGTGTGTTCCTTGTTTGCACTGCCCTTGCACAACCTCATCTGATTCTCCAAATTGTTGGTCTTGAGCTATATGTATTACCCTTTCTTTGGCCGAAAGTCTTCAAATATCTCAGCTGAGATGACTCAGTCGGTGTCTGGTCACTTTCTAATGTCATCATGCAAACGTCCATGGTTGTCCCTGACACAGATTTTTGATGAAGCTTTATTTTCCAGCAATTCCGCGGACATACAATGATCAATCAGTATGCAGGAACATATATCTATGTTCTATTATTACCTTGGAGTACTATCACGTTTTTTGTTGGCTTTCCTAGAATGCTCCAGCTTACACACACTTGACCTATTCCCAATACCCATGGCCGTATCGCTCGAACACTGCATTACTTGTATTATTACACCATTATCTGTTCCCAAATGCAGAAGTTTCTGGATCTTCCAAGTATATTCGTATGACCCTCTTCTCGGTATCCAGTACCACTTCTTTGCACGTTACGTACTCTCAGCGTCCTTGTCCCACTGTTACAGTAGCACCTCTAAGTTTTCACCGCTATCCCCAGCCAATAGTTGTTTGCATCCCTCAAGAGTCGAAGTAGCAAGCCGCGCCAAGGATACCGAAACTACAACATGGACATAGGGTTCACGCCATGTCGCTATGACTAACGTCTCATGTTCAGGCCATGGTGGTACTGGGGAGGCGCGGTTCAGCGGTCAAGCCGAACTTATCTCGGAACACGTCAACTCGGCTTGACCGACATATTTGCGTACATGGCTTCTGACCGCAGCTGCTGTGCTTGATAGGACGCCGCGGTAGGTGCACTCGTCAGAAGGGCAAAGGTGACATCAAAAACATTAAACCTGTGTGGCATACAACGGCCCTATCCGGAAGAAAATACTATATCAAAGCCACGCTGATGACATGAACTTGCAGTTTGACAGCTTGGTAACAACTGGTGACTATGTCACAGCACGAGATGATGATGATTTGCATGTGGCCAGGGTACTTAAAGTCCGCGTTGCTTCTCATGCTTTCTAGCCCAAGTATCATACATACAAACACGGTTTCAATTGCTAAGCACCACCGACAAATCCTGCATAAATCTCCGAAGAGTCTTTTTCCTTCACAATTTTCCAGTTACCAGGCACACAAGAACCTTGAGAAATCACTCTTCGCCTCACAAAGCTATTCGAAATGAAGTTCACAAATATTCTAATCGGTCTACTTTCTACCCTACCAAGCACCCTATCAGCGCCTGCATCCTCCATAGCTCACAATGATGACCCACAAATGTGCGGCTACGTCCTTACAGCCCAAAACAGCAGTGCCTACGCCGGTATCTCAGCATACACATCTTGCACGCCAATATACTACAACCAATCTATCCCCGGATACCAAACTGCGTTCGCTTACAGCATATTTGGCGGGTGCCGATGCACATTTCACGGGTAAGCATCTCCTTGCAATAGGAAACCCATAGGCTAAACATTGCTAGCAGCGAACAGGATTGTGTAACTGGACAGAATGCGCCATTTTATGAAGGGCCTATTGGGAAAGTTGGCAAGGAACCCCATTTCAGCGAGCCGAAGCCCAAGTGGTACAACTGTGAGACGTTGGCCTTGTAGGGCTACTGGCGTAGACGGGTCTGGATGTGGTGATGGCTTTCAGTTAGCGCTTGCTTTGCTGGATATCGTTGGTGAGTTGTTAGCAGCGATATCTTTTGGCCCGTGGAGTTCGTTGGTTCACGGTTGGTTTGTTGAGAACTGTGCACTCTAACACGAAATTCTGTTACGCTATGTGTCTTCATATGCACGCTTTACTCGCACTGCCTAAATGTTTCAATTGATAGCATAGGTAAAACTCAGATGCGTCTTTTCTTGTACATTTAAATACAAGGTCCTGGCTTTCAATCTCATGTGCATGCATTACCCCTCTATCCCTAACTGCAACAGCTACAGTAACCAATTAATTTCTTCCATATCTGCTGGTTAGGAGTCGCCAATCCACACATTGAAGACATCCGACCTTTTGGATCACAGCCGTTGCTGCAAGTACTGGGGCTGAGGGAACCCTAAATTTCAAGTCAGTTCCCCACCGATCTCGTAGACCAAAAGCTTCAGATGAAGCAAATCGTAAGTACAACTTACCTTCAGAATCCATAGATCTAAAAAACAGTTTTAGTGACTACCAATATGACACTTGAAACGGCCTGCAATGTCTGCAGGGCAGCCTTCGGGAACAAAGCGAGGGTATGCGCGACTTTGATTTGGGAGCCAGTGAGGATGAACCCAGGGTGCTTTCGCTGAGTCGAAGGCGAGGACCTGGTACATGGTAGCGGCGGAGAAGAAGACAAGGAGATGGAGGAGCTGCATCTTCGTATTGTGATGGGTTATGCTATGGGTGACCAAATGCAGCTAAAACCGAGGTGATTGAATGACCTAGAAGTGATGGGAAAAGATGAAGGTTCGGGACTGACATATTGTGAACAAGAAGAAGAGGGTATTCCGTCAGGGCTATATCTTGCTGGCGAATTTTTGGCCTCGATTGTGTGGGAGGAAGAGGCATGTAATGGTGGAGAAGAACCAAGGAGGTATTTGCGATAGTTCGAATGCGCATCGTCCACTTGGGTCACAGAGGAAGCAATGCTAATGATTTTATGACATTGAAACGTCATCTCTTTCAGTGTTTTTCACACTAAGTCACATTTCTGGTACGCGTTGTCATCGTTACCGTCACCCCATTTTCGCTTCCATGGAATAGTACCGCATCAGTGACTTGCACCTTGCTAATTGCCATTGCCTGTAAAACGCATGGCTAGACTGCACTTCTATCATTCTAAACTGAAACTAAAAGGATGGTGAGAGCGATTCCTTATATCATGACTGTACCTTAGAAACACAGCGGTGGGTGGTCACAAGTAATGGTACAATCATCTACAAATTCCTCGCCTGACTCCTTCCCAGCTTCAAAACCCTTCCTAGCATCATCCCACATCAAATCGAATTCTCTCAGTCTCCTGAGCTGGGATGCGTTTTTCCGCATTATTTCTAGGTGCCTGCATGGCAGCAAATGTTTTGGCTTCTTACTACTTCAAGTAAGTACCACGTTCTTAATGCCTGTAGTGGCGCTATCAAGGAGCAAGACTAATCACTTAGACAGAGGAGTCGGCTACGTCCGTGGTGGAAACAGCAACTTTTACAGACTTGAACTCTCCGACGAAATTAAGATGATCACTGATGATCGACAGAAAGACTGGTTTGTACGGCCTATTTGTTGGAACATCGAGAAAGGCTATACCTGCAGTTTCTACGAGCAGTCGATGAGCGGTCACGGTCCTTTGATTGGCCAGTACGAGGGCTTCAGCGATAGCTGGTTTGGCAGCGAACATGCAGCATACTACAAATGCTGGATCACTGCATCCAAACGTCGGGACATTGTCATTGAGAATCCACGCATTGGTACCCCGAGCGTACCGACTGGTACCGGCCGGCCGCAACGGCAAAACGACAGACACAAGCCGGGCATATTAGCAAGCTATCCGTGTGGCATTCTCGGGGTATGCTTTAGCCTTGATAATATATACAAAATGAGTTGTGCTAATCTTGATAGTTTAATAACTAATGGTTTCAATCTGGTGATCCTCACAAGTGATACGTATGGGCTCCTCAATGTTTCCACTACGAGTGCTTTCTTGCTCTTCGGGCACTCTGCTCCTATGCAGAAGGGCTGGCGCGACGACGAATGGGGAATTTGGCAGCGATATGATTCGAATGTTTGTACACTTGGTGCGAAAAACAAGATAATATACCAATTTCGTGTATGTGATGAGTACGAGTTTTCGTTTGACAATTGTGCCAAGTACTTTGAATTCCGGTACGCAATATCGCACTAGTAAGCTCGAATAACGCGTTTCCGGTTGATGGATACCACATGAAATATGTGGCGGCGACTAAATCTTGGTAATTTTGAGATTATATGATGGTAAGGATGTGGTGCTGGTGATTAAGGTTCACGAGGGTGGGTGTGAGTGAAATGGTGAAGTCGGAGGTCCGAGGCGCTCCCATTGGCGGCCGGGGCGATAAGATAAGGACCCAAAATTTCCATTGCGCCTTGCGAACTTCCTCGATGCTTGCATACGACACCACACCTCGATACCCCACGCGCCACCCAATATCCACAAGCAATAAGAACGTCAGCACCAAGAATCGCACACTGAACTTCATCCAATCAGACGGCCTTATCAACGAACTACCAGCACGATGATCCGGAAACAAGCGCGTGAAAGGCGCGACTACCTCTACCGCCGCGCATTAACTCTGCGCGATGCAGAACTTGCATCCAAGAGAGCCGCACTCAAAGAATCTCTCGCAAGCGGAAAGCCGCTGTCAAAAGACGTTGCCAACGACACAGCCCTAAGAGAAGACTACAAGTACGACGAGAGCAGAGCAGATAGGACAGTCGAGGAAGAGCTAGGCTTGGATGATGAATATGCGCAGCTATCTGGAGTCGTCGACCCAAGAATCCTCGTCACAACCAGTCGGTACGAGCGATACCTTTTCTTCGCTGAGCGCAGGACACCCGCTAACATATGTGTGATACAGTGACCCATCCAGCAGACTCGGCACTTTCGCAAAAGAAATCCGATTACTCCTCCCCACATCCATCCGCCTGAACCGCGGTAACATGATTCTGCCCAACCTAGTCGAAAGCGCAAAGTCTGGAGGCCTAAGCGATATAGTACTCCTACACGAACACAGAGGTACTCCGACTGCCTTGACAGTCTCGCATTTCCCCCACGGACCCACTGCCAGTTTCTCGCTTCGTAAGTCTTGTTCTTTACCACCATCCCTTTCTATTTCATAAATGGCAGGCAAAAGGCTCACAAAACAACATAGATAACGTAGTCCTCCGAGCAGACATTCCCAACTCCTCGCGCGGCACAGTCTCAGAAAGCTACCCACACCTCATCTTCGAAGGCTTTACCACAAAACTTGGTCAACGCTGCGTTCAGATTCTAAAACACCTTTTCCCGCCTCGAGAAGCAAATGCTAAAGTGGGAAATCGTGTGGTTACGTACGTTCCCCCTCCTCAATTTTTCCTTTCTCATCTTGCATTTGCTAACTTTTTTTTGAATAGTTTCAAGAATATCGAGGATACAATTGAAGTCCGTCACCATGTTTTCGTGAAGACGGGATACCAATCTGTAGAGCTGGCGGAGGTCGGGCCGAGGATGAGCATGCGCTTGTTCGAGATTCGCGCGGGTACGCTGGATAATAAGGAGGGAGATGTCGAGTGGCATCTTAACCAGTACACGAGGACGGGCAGGAAGAAGGATTACTTGTAAGGGTTTGGAGGTTATGCATGGAAATCGGCTGGGCTGCCTTCGCTTACGAGATATTAACACCATGTGGAGGCTCGCCAGGAAGAAATAGCCAAGAAAAAGGGGCACGAAAAAAGTCGTTTCGAGGTCATTTTGCACATGGTAATGGTTTTGGTACATATGATTTGGGAGCAGGGCGTTAGAGCATGCATGTGGGACAACAAAAGAGCCCAAAAATATCAATATGCAAAATCGCAAACTTTTCCTGAGCGACTTGAACTTGGTCGAGTAAAGCCCGGTTCTACACAGCTCACATTTGGTCTATACCATATGTTTTCTATATGTTTACTCCGTACTGGTAGTAATGCGAATAAGCTAGTTCCTCACATCATGCATCCGTTCGACTTGCTAGAGTGCAAGTCAGAGACACTCAAGCGCACACGCTGGCCATTGATCATCATGTAGCTTTCCACAAGCCACTCATACCACACCTTACGGTCATCCGTTTGTCTCCAGAAGCTGACTTCGACCTCTGAGTTGGCGGGCAGCTGCATAGGGTTCTGTGATATACGTCAGTACAGGTACTCAGAGACATCAAAGAATAACAAATCTGCAGTGCGACATACCTTGAGAGGAAACAAGATTGGGAACCATGAAATCATGTCTTTGCTCTTCTGCTCCATTGTGACAGGGTTGGTACTTAGTTCTACAGGACCCTCGGAACCACTGTACAGCACAGTTTCAAAATAGGCGCCCAAGCCATGGCAGACACCAGGCTCTTGGATTGGGAAGGCGATCCTGCAATAGCGCAGGTTGTGTTCATTCGCGCCATCGCCTCCGCAGAAGCCGCCTCCACCCCCTACTGCCGATCCACCCTTGCGCAGCGAAGACTGAGCTAGAACGGCTGGGGGGAGAGGGTGGGTAAACTCCCATGCAGTCCGTACATTTGGTGCGAGAGGTGGTTCGAGATTGAAGTTTTGCATCTTGGTGCCGTTGCTGAGCTGCTGAGAGGCAATCGTCTCTTTGGCTTCTGTAGACAAAAAGTCGAATTGTGACAGCATGACGACCCAGGGAATATTGAAAGCATTTGAGTCGATGCTCGTACTGCGGTTGTACAGATCTGCCCAGAGCTTTGGGGTGGCAATTGGAGTAAAGTGCGCCGTGTAGCTGGAGGGTATCGAGATGCCATGGGTGGGGTTCAAGACATGCTGGACACCGTCGAGACACTCTGGCGACAACTCGTTGTCAGCAAAAGATCCAAGCAGCTCACTGACGAGAATGTCAACCTGGCCAAACGTGCCATCTGCTTTCGATGGGCCTTTCCAGGCTCTCATGTCCGTCTTGACAACTGTGACACGTCCGCCCCAAGTCTCAATGTTACGGCGCTGTAACAGGACGTAGGCGTTTGGGTTCTTTTCAATCGCATATACCTTTACAGGGACGCCGGAGCTCGCACTAGCATTGAGTGCACGTGTTACGAGTGGTCCACGGCCAGATCCCACGACTGCAATGACTACGGCGCCATTGTCCGAGCTTGTCGATTTCTGCTGTGCATGCCAATCGCGTAGCGCCTGTGCAATGGCTCGCTCATACCATGCGTACTTGATTGGGTCTTTCTCAAACACCTCGTAAGTGATGGATTCTAGGTTATCTGTCAGGGGCTGCAGTGGGCTCTGGAGGTAATCTTGGAAGCCACCACCAAAGCGCTCAATTTGGCTTTTGGGAGGTTGGTTGCGCTGCAAGTACCGCATGTAACTTAGGTGTGGTGTAGGATCATTGCTGCTGCTGCTCTTTTTTGGTGATTTCTTTGCCAGTTGAGCTGATTCGGCCGGCGTTGGTGCGGTCGTTGAGGAAGCAGGGCTCGGTGCGTCCTCTACCGTGTGAGGGGAGAGGTGGCCTGTGGAATACGACATGATCATATCTGGATCGTCAATGCCTGGGAGTGGGCCGACGTCTGAGATGAGTAACCAAGGTCCGCGCTGCAGGCGCATAGCCCGGAAAATGAAGACTTGGTGTGCCTTCGAAAGGACGTAGGATTGACGGGCATTAACCAAAAAGGACGACGCCGACAGATTGAGTAGTCTGACAGGCTCCGAGAACCAGCGCGACTGAAGTGAAAGTGATGGAAGTCGGCGCGGGAGATCAAGCACTAAGGTAATCGAGTTAGTATGGGGAGCATGGTCTGACAAGGCACAGTCTTCCTGGCGGAAAAGAAGAATACTCACTGATCGACAGTCTGCTGTGGTAGTTGCAGATGGACCTAATGGTATTCCACGCATCCCATGAGCTCCAAGAGTTGATGTTCTTTATTTCGGGACTGGGCTCAAACTCTGGTCTGGCAAAGCGTGCTAGGTCTCCGACGTCCGCTTCGGTAGGCTCTGGCTGCTTGCCGTCCATGGGTAGTTGGATATGAAACTGAACGTAAGACCCCGTAACGAGAGCCTCTTTGATCGAGCGGGCATATTGAGACACCCCAGCCTGCCCATGGGCGAGTCTCGGACCTGGCACGACAACGTTTGTGACACCGCAGAATGCGGCGAAGGCAATCTCGAGGTGAAAGACTTGTCGCGAAAGATGGGCGATAAGTGGATCGGGCGAGGACAAGTCAATCCATGGGCTAGCAAAGGTTACGAGCTGGCCGATGATGTCGGTCGGACCGAGAGGGGTGTCGAAATTGTCCAGTGCAGGTATCAAGGGCAGCGGCTGCGCTGGGGACTCAGCGAGGGATTGAGTGTACGAGTTGAGGATGCCGAGGACACGGTTATGGAAGTGGTCATTTGTGATTGGGCTCGTGAGCATATCATACTGGCCATGGTCAGTCACGGTTCCTGCATATTCTCGGCAGCACCTACTCCGAGATCTTGGGCGTGCTGGACCAGTTCCGGCGACACATCGAGGCTACGCTTCGACTCATGTTGGCCAATATAGAAAATGGCCGCTGAGTCGTCCATTCCTTCCGAGTAGTCCATGTTGCCAAGATGAGTCCGGACAGGGCGAAAATATGTGCGGCGGCGGAGGAAATATGACTACGGAAAAGATGGTGGAGAAGACTGCGGCGGCGGAGCACGGCAGCGGGGTTGTCGGTGAGGCGGCGGGCAGAGGCAATTGCTGGGGCAAGCAAAATCAGTCACGGCGGCGGCGATGGGTCACAGCAGGCAGAAAAGAAGCCACTCCGGGTAGAGGGCGCATGTATATTGATCAGATTCATGGCGGCGTGTGTGGGTGGGTATTTGGTGCGGTGCCTGGCAGGCCGTGGTAATTCGCGCCAAGCGTGGAGGGTAATGCCTGTGGAGCTCCGTACGTTAGTTCGATGCGGGCTATTCCTACTCCGGTCGCCGCATAACTTTTTCTACGTCCAGGCATCTTCACCACGCGCAAACCACGAGCAAACCGCAACCATGACTGCTATGCCCAAGCGCGAGTACGAAAACGACGACAGCGCCCGCGTCAAGCGCGTCAAGACTGAATCCACCGGCAAAGGCGACGTGGACGCCGCCTCCAACCCGTACCTCGCGCACTGGAACGATACCAAAGACAGCGCCGCCACCGGCCAGGGCCTACAGGGCTTCAAGCGCCATGCTACCACCACTGCGCAAGCCAATGCCGCAGAGAACGGGCCCAACAACCCCTTCACTGGCCGCCCCCTCTCCAAAAAGTACATGAGCATCCTCGAGAAGCGCCGCGACCTGCCCGTCCACCAGCAGCGCGATGAGTTCCTCAAGCTCTACCAGGAGTCGCAGATCCTTGTCTTTGTCGGTGAGACTGGTTCCGGAAAGACGACCCAGATTCCCCAGTTCGTTCTCTTTGACGACCTTCCCCAGGCCGAGGCCAAGATGGTCGCTTGTACACAGCCTCGTCGTGTCGCTGCCATGTCGGTGGCCCAGCGTGTGGCTGAGGAGATGGACGTCGAGCTAGGCGAAGAGGTCGGATACAGCATTCGTTTCGAGGACAAGACGGGGCCCAATACCATTCTCAAGTACATGACGGATGGAATGTTGCTGCGTGAGGCCATGAACGACCACAACCTCACGCGCTACAGCACAATCATCCTCGATGAGGCTCACGAGAGGACCTTGGCCACCGATATCCTCATGGGTCTGCTGAAGGAAGTTGTCCTGCGCAGGCCCGATCTCAAGCTCATCATCATGAGTGCCACTCTCGACGCTACCAAATTCCAAAAGTACTTCCACAACGCCCCGCTCCTCGCCGTCCCCGGTCGAACCCACCCCGTCGAGGTATTTTATACCCCTGCGCCCGAGCGCGACTACGTCGAGGCCGCTCTCCGCACTGTTCTCCAAATCCACGCTACTGAACCCGAGGGTGATATTCTGCTATTCTTGACTGGTGAGGAGGAAATTGAGGATGCATGCAGAAAGATCAACCTTGAAGCCCAAGATCTCAGTCGCGAGGGCGGTGCCGGCCCATTGGTTGTATACCCGCTCTACGGAACTCTGCCTCCGGCGCAACAACAAAAGATCTTCAATCCTGCTCCTCCCCCATCAACTCCTGGTGGCCGTCCTGGACGAAAAGTTATTGTTTCTACCAACATTGCTGAAACATCTTTGACTATTGATGGAATCGTCTATGTCGTAGATCCAGGATTCAGCAAGCAAAAAGTGTACAACCCTCGTATCCGTGTCGAGTCGCTGTTGGTATCGCCCATCTCCAAGGCATCTGCACAGCAACGTGCTGGACGTGCTGGACGTACGCGCCCTGGTAAATGCTTCCGGTTGTATACCGAGGCTGCCTTCAAGAAGGAGCTCATTGAGCAGACATATCCTGAAATTCTGCGCTCAAACTTGGCAAGCACGGTTCTAGAGCTAAAGAAGCTTGGCGTTGACGATCTGGTACATTTTGATCTCATGGATCCTCCTGCGCCCGAGACTCTGATGCGTGCGTTGGAAGAGCTCAACTACCTGGCATGTCTGGACGATGAGGGCGAACTTACCACGCTGGGAAGTCTCGCATCTCAATTTCCCCTGGACCCTGCGTTGGCAGTCATGCTCATCACCTCCCCCGAATTT